ATTGGTTCATTCACCATATTTTTTAGAAAATGTCTAACGACTCCTGATATTAAAAAAAAATGTGGATATATCTGGGTTTAGAACCCTGTTACTTTACATTTACTAATTAGTGTCAACTTGATATATAAATTATTCACTCGGTGAAAAAATAATTATATTAGTTATACAACTTTGAACTTACTTAAGGACTAGTATTCCTGCATTAGTTGCAGAGTCCAAATCAATATTGTCAACACCTGTTCCAGCTCTCCCAATAACTTTAAGGCCATACTGGGCTCCAGCTTCAATTACCGCCTTAGTTACTTTTGTATCTGAACGAACAACTAATCCATCGTACGATCCAGCCTGAGGAAATTAATTTACTTGAACCAAATAATTTTCCATACTTATTGTTTTTTTATATTAATTTTTAAATTTCAAACTAATTTACTTTAAACTTGAGTCAAATACAAAATTGTGCATGCAATTATATATTATGTGTAAATTGTATAAATTATGATATGGTCGACTGTATACTCTGGCCAGTGATAGATCATACCAGTTCTGCACATACCCATTTGTCACCTTGTCATCGAAACCGCAGGGTATCACATTGGGTATGCATAAAAAAACCGATTTTTATCAAGCCGCAGTGTGTTTTCACACTGGACAGAGTATAGTAAGGCAGCACTATTTGTAGTAAGAGAGACCACCAAGCCAACTATGCAGAAGGCAACAGAAAACAACTGCACAGTAAATGTATACAGTACACAAGCCTTAACCAGAGGATCACTATTTTTTTTTTTTTTGTATGACCATTGTATATTACAGAGAACAGTTACTAATGACTAAAAATAGAACTATTAAAAATGTCAGTATATATTTTTCAAAATGATAAGGCAATGAAATAAATAACAATATCATTTACCTTTATTTACCTATATTCCAATATAATTTTAGAACTGTTACTTTAAACTGAATAATATAGAATAGATCATTATTAAACCAAACCACCCTAAGGTTAAAAAACTATATTTAAATAGAAAATATAGAAGACAATATTTAAACACCTAACAATACCTTTACCGACATATAACATGCAGTATGCACATAATATAATAGGACTCAAGACGTTTATTTTACATTTACACTTATACTTATACCGAGATCCATGGAAAGGGATCATTAGCTCTTAATCTCAGGTGCTCAGTATTAATTTATCAAATGTTTAGTGATTGGTCAAAATAATATGCAACTCGGCATTAATATTGTAATTAATAATAGGTATTATCATGATATTAAAAATTGTATAAATTATGAAATAGTAATTACAATATTACCTTTAACTCTGCTATGAGAGCATCAGTTGGCAATTTGTATTTCGATTGAACTTCAATGCCATTTTTTTCGAGAAGTGAAGCACAAGACGGATCACAAGCATCGCTGATGAGCACCTTTTTTATGGACACACGTGGACTGGACATGTTTAGTGTTTACAGATGAGTGTATGAGACAAGAGTGTCGTACTACTGAATGTACTGTTCAGTGTTCACTGTTGTCTCGAGAGTGAACAATAAAGTGGTTGAACTGGTTTTGAAGTCGTGAGCGGCGGGTGGTTCCAACCATTGCAGACGGCAATTTTTGACGATCGAGTAATATTTCAATTGGTATTTCTTATCGAAGTATATAATTATTTATTACTATTAGTATGTTACTAATTATTTGCCAGTCTTAGATTTGAAATCGTTTCTTTTTATAATCATTAATCACTTTTGATAAACATAATCTTTTTTTCAATTGGTTTGGTCTTTGACCCAAGTGTAATAATTATTTTTTTACGATGAATATTATAATATATAGGTATATCATTTATGGCACCATATACATACAAAGGATTATTGAAAAAATGATTATAGTAATATTAATTATTATAGACATATTATTATAGTGTATAACCAATACAGATAAAGAATTAACCAACCATTATTTTTTATGATACAAAACCCACTTCAAAAAAATGTTTATTTTATGTCTTTAAAAACTACATACCTACTTACGACCTATCTATACGACTATATGACTATATAATAATATGTATAAACCACTTCGCACTTACTGACTTACTATACTATAGTTTTGCTTATTAAATTAGTTTTGGAAAAGTAATTATAGCTTTTATAGCGATATTAATATAATATTAGTACTTATATTAATACATTAATGGTAATTACCATAGATTGTAATGGCATTCTTTAACATTTATATTTGTTTCAAATGTATTCAATAATAATATTAGTACCTAATTGTGTCAGTTGTTAATTATTTGACTTGAAGATAATACAACTAAAACTTAAAGTATTTTGAATACAGTTTTGATATACCTACCTGTAAATTATAGTACCTATAGGTAAATTAAGGGGCAATTAGATAATACTGAGTAGTGAGTACTGCTGTAGTCTGTACTAAGTTTCTCATTTCAGTTAGGTATGCATTAGTTTAGTATAGTTCAATACTAAGTTTACATGGGTACAAAAAAAATTGTTTATATTTATTACATAACTATCTTATTCTTATTTTGTCTGGCCACCTACACTCGATTATGATTTGACTAAAATCGAATAAGGCAGTGAATTTAATGATATTGATTTTTTTCTTCTATCGTTACATGCTTGTCTATAGCCTAAATTTACTTATTAGAAACTAGACTTTAGAGGATTCAGCATATTTTATATTACTAAATACATATTATCTCCTTCAATTTCGAAGGTAATAAATTTCTTATTTTAAATAATAGTTTTTATTTGGAGAATCTACCGCCTCCAGACTGCACTCTTTCAACCCTGCAGGCATTGCGTGAGTGCGTGACTGATAAATGATAATATAAATTTTAAAATATTAGCATCGATTATACAAAGCTTCATAACGGTCATATCCATTTTTCGCGTAAATACGGGCTAGTGAGCAATCATAGTATTTTAGATTCTGAGTGAAACGATGAATGTATATTGAATTTACAATGATGTGTGTTTTTTTATTTTTATTTTTTATTTTTTTTGTGTCTGTCATCACCTTTTAGGACAGTAAACGTAATTGGATTTTCTTCAACATTTTATTTTCTGATAGGAAAGTAAATCTAGTTAGTACTTTGGGGGGTCAAAAGTAAAATTTTTCTAGTAGTTTTCAAAAGCGCCGTGAAAAACAAAAGAAAAATTAAGGAAAAACGGACATTTGTACGCTAAATTGATTTTACACAAAATCGATTTTGGTTTTTGTTGTTACTCTAAAAATAAGTTATAAATTAATTTTTATAATAAGTTTTTAATAATAAGAAGTCGTTTTTATATCCATATCGTATTTTTGAGTTATTACATGCCATAGTCTGTACAACAGTTTAATTGGCGATTGAAATTAATAAGCTGTAATGGTGACGATGTGTATCATTTATATGTTATTTACCAGTCCCCGTTACAGGTCCACCCCCGCCCGCCTGAAAATTGATAAGCTTTCAATCGCCAATATAGGAGTTGTATAAGCAGTATATACATATATAGTCATATAGATAGTAATTTATTATCTATATCTGTGCCAGTATAGAACCTTCATAAGAAGTCAGGAATTAAAATAATTATGATAAAGATAAAATATGTGATAAGCTAGTAAATAATGTAAGTATATTGAAAATATGAAACAAATTCATGACAATTTATAACAAAATTAAAAACTGTTTGCCAACCAAAGCGCTCAAGGATACCGGCCCACCGGGAAGTTTCCGAGTATCCCGATGGGCCAGTCCGGCCCTGAAGTTAACAACACGAAATTAGTTCTGCTGAACGTAAATTTACTATATTGTATGTACCTACCTACACTATAGTTATACAAATCCGACATATTTTAGGGCTTTAGGCACCGCTCAGCCATTATTAGTTATTATTAAATAGATAGTAAAAATCGAGTCTGCAGTGATTAAGTAAAAGAAAAAAACCGTTCCAAAAACCAAAACCAAAAATTTTCAAAAACCGTTCTTAATACCGATAAATTTGAACAACCTTTTTTGAAACGGAAACCAAAACCAACAAATTTGAAAAACCAATCTTAGAAACTATACCAAAACCATAAAATATAGAAAACCGAAACCGTAACCATTAAAATTTGAAACGGTTTCGATCCTTGCATTACATACAGTGGCCCACTTGTAACCTAATCCTAATGTACAGCAGAGTACCTTTTTAATTTATTTAATTTTTTTTTTTTGTGTCTATCATCTCCTTTTAGGTCAGTAAAAGTGCTTCTTCATAAATTTTAAGTGCATAAGTTCAACAATTTTGTAGTATATATTTTTGTCATACCTACTTTCAATTTTCATAGGCCTTATTTTCATTAGTCATTAGTCATTACTTAATACTTATTAGTAGGTATTGCAGTATTGCACTGTTGCCATACTGGAGTAAATTGGTAAATTAAACTATGGATAAAATTAAAGAAGGCGATTTTACTTATTAGATTAACAACAAACTATAAGTTTCTTATCTCTAATAGGTACCTATAATTAAAATAATTTACCTACCTAATAAGTATGACTAAAAATTTTAACATATATAAATAAAAAAAAAAATTAGGTACATGTTCCATAAAAAAACATAATAATAATACATGTACCTATATACACATAATATTATATAATAATATCCTATTTAAATTATATTTTTATAATATTTTATTTAATACATTTTTGATAAACATGTATTATTTTATTGATAAAAGATATTAAGTAAATTCAAACACATATATGTATATATATATATATATCTTAATTAATGTAATATTGCTAGAAAAAATTATTTTACTATACATGTATAGTAAATTGTAGATAAGTAGGTAGGTATTAAATAAAATTTAGTATTTAAATACAATTAAAAATTAAAAATATGTATACAAAGTACATAAATATAAATATTATAGTTGTTCCAAGTTTCCAACTAACAACTATTAAAAATAAGCTGTTTATTTAAACAGTAAATAACTTAAATTATTTTTTGTTTTTTTAGTTTTTCACACAAGGACAAATCATTTTGAAATTGCTTTCTTTTAATACCATTTTCATCTACATCAGACTTTAAATTTGATGAGTTTACTATATCATTTGGTAGTATTTGTTGTATAGGTATGTTGAAATCCATTAAATTGTTTACATTTTTAGGATTATTTTCAATCGAGTTATCACAGTAATACTTTGTAATTTTTTGTAATAGTTGATTGTCTTCTTGTATAGTGGAAATGTCCATCATCTGATTCATATCATAATGCTGAAGGGATGGTTGTTTGGAAGTATTATTATAAAAATAAAAGCTATGAATTTGTTCATCTTAGAATTTTTCACCATTGTTAAAAGATTGAGATGCTAACTCAGAATCTAATTCATTAATATTTATTGAAGTGTTGACACAATCTAGAAAATCTGAAAAATTACCCAACTCTTTTTTAATTATTATCAATCCTTTTTCCGTGTCATTTTGAGAAGTTTCCAAATGCATATTTCTGTCTTCAGAAGATTTACTAATTCCCATTAAAAAATTGTCATAACTAACACTATCATTGATAAAATCTAAAGGAAAAGACGCAGGAACAATGTTGAATTGACCTTTAGTTGATAAATCCATAAGCATATAATTTTCATTATCCAATTCATTGATTTTGAATTCTGTGCTGCTTATAATTGTATCCTTATCTGAAACGGGTTTTACTTCTTTAGAGAAAATATTACAATTATTTGATACTTTTTCTGCTGGTTTAACTTCTTTAGTGAAATTCTTACAATTAATTGATATTTCTTCTCCCAGTTTTATAATCTTAGAACTTTTTGATTGAATTTTAGAAGAACATTTTCTTTTTTTTGAAAGTTTTTTGAGCGAAGTAGTTCTTTGAACATTTTCCTTTTCGGAGACGGGATATTTTTTATATGAAACTTCTGAATTCTTTATGATTCCTTTATCTGAACTCTTTGTTACCAATGAAATATTGTTAAATGTTTGTTTAGGTTTTGGTTTTAGAATTCTACTTGGATTTAAATTTGTGTCTGAGATATTTATATTATTATGAGATAACAAATTATCTTTAGCTTCTGTATTATCATTTCTTCTTTCTGACAAACCTTTTTTTTTAAAAAGAACTTTTATTTTATTATTATTATTGATTTTAAATTTTGAAGATTCAGGAACTTTAAAAACTGGTTTAGACTTAACTAAGTCTATAGTAATTCCAGGTAATTTTTTTAACTTTGATATTATATTATTTTCTGTATTATTGACATTGGTTATACTGGTTATAGTTACTTCTTTTGAAATCTTTAAATTTGATAGAACTATTGGTTGTTCTTTCTGATTAATCACTGATTCTATTTTTCTAGAAAACAATTTTAAAAACTAATTTAAATTTAAATTAATAATTAAATAAATATAATTATATAAATAATACAAATTTAAAAAATGCATCAAAATGTAATAGTAAGATCATAAAACAACATAAATTACATTATAAAGTTAAAAGTATTAACACCAGGGACATCTGCAGAAAATTAGTTCAGAATGTGCCAAATTAAACTCAGCTTTTATTAGTTTAATATTTCTCCACGTCAATAATTTATAAATATTTTTAAATTTGATTTTTAATAATTATTTTTGTTTGTTTGGATTTCCACTCTAAATTTGTTTGTATTATTTTTAAAAAAATTGGATCATTTTAGATTTATTTCTATAAATTATTTTAGATTCTAAGCAAATTGATAAATTATATATTCATTTTACAATAATGTTTTTTTTAAATTATTTATTTATTTATGTTTGTGTTTGTTATCCATCATCACCTTTGGAACAGTAAAAATGCATTGATATTTAAACACTAAATAACAATCTTAGTTATTCGTTTTTTTTTTTTTTATTATTGATCTTAAGCATCGGCAACTATGGCCATTAGAATTTTGTAGGGATCCCTCGAGGTTACGGTTGGTTGAAGAAAACGTGTACATGGGATATAAGCGCAATTTTGGGGTACTAGGGGGGCTTAGCCTCCCTATTTTTATTTAAGCCACCCCTGATTTTCTAAATACATTCATTCTTAAATTCAATATCTAATAAAAAAAAGATTAATGTAGGTACCTACCTATACTTTTATGATAACTATAATGCTATAATTATGTAGAAATTTAAAATCAATTTTTACTTTTTAATTTATATGACTTACGCTATCAATGCATGTATTTCAAATTATTACTAAACTTGACTTAAGATAATAAGAGGTAAGACCATTTTAAAATTATGAATCTGTCAGATCTCAAATCTTAACTAGACATACGTGTTTAGTATAGCTACCTAATATTATAATGTGACTTGAAATGTTTAAACCAAAACAATTTCACTGATAGACGATAGTGAGTTATAGTTTTGACTTACGTAAACTATACAAAAAATCTAATCATACTATTAGCCAAAAAAGTTAATTCTTAACTTAAGAATATTATTACCGTATAAATGATTACAAGTGGTTGACGCAGAGAAGGTATGTGCAGTGGCGTGTATCATAAAAAAAATTGGTGTTGCTCAAATAATTTTTTGTGACCTATCCCTCATATTACTGTTATACCGACCTATAAAATTTCCTATTTTTTTTCTATCAATACCCACCCAACCATATTTAAGGTGTTGCCTGAGCAACACTTGGACCCCATGTTACACGCCACTGGGTATGTGTAATTTAGCTCCCTCGAAATAGTTGTTCAAATGGCAGATTGCGCATTTGCGCCTATGCCGTGGGGTGAGGATTCGTAACTAAAAACCCGGTGGTCATACATCTGGGAACTATCGCTGCCAGCCGATGCTTGACTTCAGAACATGTTAGTGACTGAGGCCAACCACCGAGCCACACCAGACCCCTTTAGTTATTTCGTTGTAATTTAAAATCATTTGCGGCCTTGCGGGGACTTTAAAATTGTACGTATGTTTATTGTTGTATATTTATTACTATACCTACGCCATTTTGATTAATTTAAAGCTATTGCTTATTTATATCGTATAACCCCGAGGTACAGCACTACAGTGTACACCGCTGTAGTGCTATACTAATATAGTAAAATAATTTATTATAGATACAAATCTTAGTAATATATATGATGGAAGACGATTTTTTAAATTTTAAGTTTAAATTATAATTATAATAAACTAAATATTTGGAAAATATGATAGGAGTAATAGATGCTCCCTAACAGAGACGTCTCAAACCAAAAAGTAGTTAAAGATGAAATTGAAGTGGACGATGGCGGATGGGATGACGATACAAATAGCAAGGAGTCTTGACAGATGGACAAGATTTGTATACATATAATAGTGCAAAGGCCTTAACTAAAAAAAATTATTTTTACACATTGCGTATTACTATATCGTGAATATAAAGGAACGACTGAAGAGTTAAGACTTAAGTTAGTGATGACTGACGAATGATGGGTATAAACTATAAACCAATGAAAAAGTATTACAGGACCTATATAGTATATAAACTATACACATTAAAATTGACTGAATCATTATTAATAATATTACTTTCTTAAAATCAAATTTTAAATTGAGTGTAAATTATGTTAAACCTGTTTTAATATTTTGTTTAATTTTATTTTCTAAATTTTTTTGAGAAAGTGATCATTGATAAGGCCATAAGGGAGAATATTCTTTGTACGTAATGAAAAGATGACCTGAGGGAAATGTATGAATTTTTCAAATAAATATACATGTTTAATTCTTAAATATTATAAATATATATAATATATATAGCCATAATGGTAGGTACTTAACTACTGTCTACTGTATTATAGGTAGTAGGTACCTACTTTAAATTGTAACTCTGGAAGCCGGTTTAAATGTTTAATTTATGTAAATTAAACCATCAACAGGCACATATTAATCTGAGCTCTATTGCTTACCTGGCTACTTATTATATATTTATATTATATACTAATTATGTTTATAATAAATAAAAACATATTTCAATTATTAAGGTATTCATCTATAATACAATTTTACATTACTTTATATTTTGATCCATTATTTTTGAAGATTTTTGTGACCTTTCTAGTATTGGACTCAATTTGACTTTTGAGCTTTTAACATTTTTACGTACCTGTAAAAATAAATATATACATGTAGGAAATAACTATTGTGCTATTTGCGAAGTACGGCTATTTATTTAATATATTTCTATCTCTCTCCCCCCAAATTAGACAAGAACAAAATATTTCTTTCAAGCTAGTTTTTTAAAATGTAGGTATAGATAATACGATTGATTATGAATACTATAGTACTATACTAATTTAGTATTTTTTTTTATCAATTCCCAATAGTAATACATAAACATGTTCAGTGGGGCCCATTATCTTCTTGAAGAATAAATAAAAAAAAATAAAAATAAACATATATCATAGGTAGATACCAGAAATTATAAATAAAATAAAAAAATCGGGAAAGTGGATATCGCTCTGCTGTACAGTTGTAACTTGTAGGTAACAATAGTGGCCTGCAAGTAGGTCACTGTAATGGATAGTGTTAAATTTGAATTCAATGATATAAAATCATTGTATAAGAAAAACGAATTTAAGCGAAGACAGTCAACCTAAATTCAATAAAATTACAATATACATGTTTTAAGAGGTAAACATTTTTTGTCACACCTGCATGGCTGCATCGAAAGTTAATTTTGTAAGTTGACTATGGAGCGGTCAGAAAAGTTACTGTCCAAATCAGACTAAACTATACACGCTGATACTATACCTGGATACATGGATACTACCATGTAGTTATAACTTATAAATGTATAACAGCTATAGAGGTATATCAAACAATAGTTATGACGTGTGGCTCGTGCGGGAAGACCAGCGGATTGTTCCATGAATCTCGGATATTCCCCCCCCCCCCCCCCCCCCGATATATTTTTGATGCGGAGATTTCCCCCCATTTTTTTTAAAGTTTACTATTTAATAATATAATATTATTATTTAATATGAAATTATTGTTTTGCCTAATGTCTAATATTTTCAAAAATGTTCATAAATATAATAAATTAGGTATAGATGTATATTTTTGATCAACTGAACTACCTACTTGAATCAAATTCACAAGCGATTATTAAATTGTTAAATATCCAAACTGGTACAGTTTCAAAAAAAAAAATAAAAAAATAAAATAAATAAGAACAAAGTCTAAAAAGTATGTGTTTAGTAATAACGAAGAATCAGAAATCAAATGATTTTTACAAAATGTATCATTTTTATGTCAGAATTTTCAGCCATTTTTATTAATTACTAGCTGATTCCGTGCACTTCGTTTCCCGTTATATGTACCAACTCTATATGACTCAAACTTTGTTCGGTGTATGGTGTTCTTATTATAACTCTTCTGTTGCCTGGGACAAAAATTTTGATTCGCAGCAGTATATTATCAGGTAGGCAATCTACCTGCGGTTGATCGCGGACCCCGTGCTGTTTGACGTAACTTTATAATTTAACTCAAAAGTATCAAAGTTATACCAAGTGTCCAAGTATGTCACTGAACTCCTCCTAAACGGCTGGACTAATTGTGAATGCCGAGTCTGTCGACCAATATTTCCTCCTCATCCACGGAGACGTGTCATTTCTTTATGTACTTAACTTATACGTAGTTTCGATACATATATAATAATAAAACACAGCGTACAAAAAATTAAATGCATTGATTGAATACACTGATTTCACGGCAACCAATGGCGACCATTTATAAACAAAAATTTCCACCGCAAATCTCTAAATCCCCGTTTGAGCACATCCCCTGGTTGGACCTAGGGGGGGTGATTTGTGAATCTAAATTATCCGGTACAATTATCCACATACAAAATTCATTCAAATCGGTCCAACCATTTAGGAGGGGTTCAGTCACAACACACGTACAGTAGAACTATTGCGCTTAGCAACACATTCAACGATTAATTTTTATATTATATAAGAAATCAACAAACATGCCCTATTAATCAATAGCAACCAATATAATATAATACACTGTTGGCCACTGTTGTATTTTTTACATCCAGTCCATCCAGATTTCCAATTTTTCGGTGGATTTTCCTAAAATTTTCTTTTCAACCTTCTCCTGGCAATAACAAACATCTTAAAAAAAATTTGAGCAAAATCGAGTTATAGCGGGACTAACGAACAGCAATTCATTTATAAATATATAGAAGATTAATTATATTTTATTTTATACTTATTTTTTTTTTTAATTTTTATTTTTTCAACATATACACTTATAATCTATTATACTTACAAAAAAAAAAAAATTATATATTTTATATTATTTTTATTTTTTTATTTAAAAAAATAATTTTATAATAAATAATAAATAATATTATATTATTAAATTCAAAATAATAAACTTTTAAAAAAATAGGGAGAAATGTCCTACTAGACCAAAAACAGTAGGGGGAATGTCCGGGGGAAATATTCATGAATGTCGCCCACAACTGAGATTGCTCACTTCACGCAATATTGCCACAAGTTATATTTTGCTGTATACTATTTTGTTTCATGATTTGATAGCCATTCCCGAATAACTGTCTCTTGTCGGGTGGACGGACAGGTCTAATATTTGTCGTGTCCCCGACTGTAATGTAATATAATATATATTGTATACTATAAAGGTGCATTTTTTTTAACTGCCCGGCTAAGACATCTTTTTGTAACTACCACTGCGCACAGGACTTTATAAATACAATAAAAGTGTATACGTAACTACTCAAATAAATAAAAAATTTTATGATTTTATCTTATTAAAATATCATATAGGTATAACTGTATAAGGTATATAATATATTATATGCTCTGTCTCAAATAAGTGAAACCTTAGACGGTGACCGGTTCTGTCAAACCACACCCACCGATTAAATCGGTGTTCTACACATTCGTCATCACTCATCAGCTTTCGTTTCCGACGATCAGCCGGGGCAGAAAAATTGTTTTAAAATATTAATCTTAACAGAATGCAAGTAAGGTGGCTTATTGAATAATAAAATTAATAAATTATGCTCCCTAGAATGCTCACCCGGCGAATGTTACTACTTACTAATTGTTAGCACTTAGCCACACCGTCCACTGTCCAGTATAGATGAAGATCACTATTATTAGATAATGTTCTACATTTTATTATACTAAAAATACCGCTGTTAACACACTACCTATTTCATTATCATTATTAATTTATGTCTTTAGTATAATATATAATCACTACGTGTGTGTACTGTGTGTATAATATTATATATATATATATATATATATATATATATAAATATATAATATAATAATGGTACAAATATATACTTGTGAGTGCATCTGTCGTGCACACTCTATATATACATATACCCTATCGATCGTATAATAATTAATAAGTATTACAATCCATAGCTAATAGCCGGTCGCTCGATGACCGTGTAGCTATCTCGCGTCCATCGTTGTACACATAATATTTGCACTGCACTCGAAACGACACGCGGCTGTGGCGGTCGACTATATAATAATATGTATCGGTCCATCTGCAGCAGCAAAGCTTATCCCATGTGAATATCGCGTGTAATATATATATACATACACGTAAACCTGAGCACATATTTTACGCTGCCCCGTTATCACGTCGTGTCCAATTCGTCGTTGGGTCGGCAAAAATATTATCATTATCGACAAACAGCTATCGGCCGCCGACCGCGGGCTATTCCGAACCCGAAAGGTTTTCACAATACACACATAATAATATATATGTCATATTTATTTACGGGGATGTGTGTATGTGTGTGGGGGGAGGGGGTGGTTTGTGGTATATACGTGAGTGTACCTACGCGATGTATAATAATTTGTAATAAATTATAATATTATTATCATTATCATTATTAAGTATTATTATAGGTATATTATTATTAGTACTACAAATTGTCCTACTATGAAAAGTCGCTCGAGATCAATTTACGTTCTATCAATTGACCGCTATGAATTATCACTCTACATCAATTATCAGCTATCTATTGACGTATATCCGGTATTGAACTTGCACATTTTTCATAAATACATTTTTTTATATTTGAAACGAGTGCATATTAAAAGATAATAAGATAATATTTATACTGGCCTATTAAAAATCAACAGTAATCCCGTGGCTTTAGATTTGATTAAAATACACAATCTGGGATTGTTGAATTTGGTTCATTCATACCACTGGCGTCGTTCATTTGATACCGACATACCGTTCAATATCGTATTTCCTGGCTCCTACCATATCGAATTTTGTTTCGTTTGTTATCATGAACACAAACCAATACCAGTCACTTTCCACTGAGAGGGAAGAAATCATGAGCATTATTCCGGACCTGAAGCCCCCAAAATTCTATCCCGTGCCGGTGTCGAGGCAATGCCTCGTGAAACTCACGTCCAGAACGCAGAGGACATCGTGCCGAGGACAGATCGGACGACTCAACCGGGCTACATATCGGACGCTGATATATTAGGACTGGATCTTTACGTCAAGCCGCCTGAACCAGTTTACCGTCGCATACAGCTGCCGAACTATGCGGGTCCGGCATTCTGGGCCGCAATGACAATGGTCGATGCCTCATCTAACTGGCCGCTAGTGTTAACAGGTGAAAACGTGATCTTCGATCCGACCGCGGTGTTGGAGCAGGCACCGCCAACGCCGGAAGTCGAAGAGCGGCGAACGGAAGTCCAAATCCTGGTGGAACGCGACGACGACCCGGTCACGAGGCGTTGGTCTTCCGACAGGAACGTTTCGTGGATTTCGGAATCCGAAACTGGAAAAGCGGACACAAAGCCGCAAGGAAAGGCACGTCGCCGCACGCTCTGGCGCCGAACTGCTCCAACACCGCGGTCGGATCGAAGATCACGTTTTCACCTGTTAACACTAGCGGCCAGTTAGATGAGGCGTCGACCATTGCCATTGCGGCCCGGAATGCCGGACCCGCATAGTTCGGCAGCTGTATGCGACGGTAAACTGGTTCAGGCGGCTTGACGTAAAGATCCAGTCCTAATATATCAGCGTCCGATATGTAGCCCGGTTGAGTCGTCCGATCTGTCCTCGGCACGATGTCCTCTGCGTTCTGGACGTGAGTTTCACGAGGCATTGCCTCGACACCGGCACGGGATAGAATTTTGGGGGCTTCAGGTCCGGAATAATGCTCATGATTTCTTCCCTCTCAGTGGAAAGTGACTGGTATTGGTTTGTGTTCATGATAACAAACGAAACAAAATTCGATATGGTAGGAGCCAGGAAATACGATATTGAACGGTATGTCGGTATCAAATGAACGACGCCAGTGGTATGAATGAACCAAATTCAACAATCCCAGATTGTGTATTTTAATCAAATCTAAAGCCACGGGATTACTGTTGATTTTTAATAGGCCAGTATAAATATTATCTTATTATCTTTTAATATGCACTCGTTTCAAATATAAAAAAATGTATTTATGAAAAATGTGCAAATTCAATACCGGATATACGTCAATAGATAGCTGATAATTGATGTAGAGTGATAATTCATAGCGGTTCATAATAAATATTATAAAATATAGTACAATAACATACATACAATACATGCATACAAAATATAGTTGGAAAATGAAAAACACGATATGTCAGGACTCATGACGTAATAGACCCAGTGTTATACTTGGCTGCGGCCAGACGACACCCGTTCACTTGCGGTACACGGTATCTGAAATTTGAAGAAAGCAGGGGCGGAGTGGCCGGTCTGGAAATGGGAATTTTCCAGATGGCCTGGAGTCTGGACCATATACATGGCCTGGTGGCCTGGCCATTTTGTTAGATTTTTTTTTTAATTTAAATTAATTTACAAAATATTAGTTAATGCTAAATGCATCAAAAATTTGTTTCTATTAAATGATCGTATTACAAATATTATTAATGAAATAATAGTAAATTGTAATAGCCTCGTACAATCGTATACTCTTATGAGAAATCTTTGGATAAAAAATTACAAAATATTTGGTACATAAATATAGATATCAAATAAAATCAAAGCAATATAATATTTATATGGGTCGATTATTTTTATAAAAAAACACCCAGATAGTGTGTGGTCTCGGTTCAATCCAACAGAACTAATTACCTACTAAGAAATTATAAATTACTGATTCGACGCATTTCCGCATGTTGAAACCTGCAAGTTGTTTATTTGTACCCTGTAGGGCTGTTGAGTGGCGACGAATATAGCAATGCCAAATGGCTAATAATAACTAATAATACCATTGATTATAAGTACTAATAATGTCTAATACTAGTATTTTGTATATTTTATAACAATCAATGATAATACATTAATACATATTAATTTTGTATTATTGGTCACTTTACTTTGGTCATTGTTATTTTTATAAAGAATATCTGTAATAAACCCAAACAAATTAGTCATTAGTGTTTGATATTTGTCCCCTGGTCACTGGTGTTGAGTGTGTCGACGGTGTCGTTTATGGTGTATCCACGTTTTTCCTTTTAAGTAATTTTGTGTACCTTAAAAGTATTTTATTTACTATTTAGTTAAATGTTCTAGTTTACTAGTTATGACTTATGTTGGGATTATTTTTAATTTTAAAAAAAAATTGAACAACTTATTATTATTTAAATTGCTCATAAATAAAATTAAGAAAATATATAAGAATTTCCAACACATTTGTAATAAATGTAATTAATTTGCCTAGTGCATTTCCTCATTGATAATTTATCTTGCTCTTATATTTCAATATTTTGAATAAAATGTACTTGTATTAATTTAATTTAACTTTTTTCAGATCAAACATCAAACAGTAATAATTTAGAATCTAAAATCTCTATAGATTGTGATAATGTTTTCGGATTTTCAGGTATTAGTACTTAGTGGTATATTAATACAATGTGTTAGAAGACAGAAGTTAAAAGAAATAGCAAGATAGTGATTGAAATACTTTTCTAATACTGAAAGTAATTTTGGAATAGGCAAATATAAAAAACCAAATTCGAGCCTAGCGAGAAACAAAAAATTTGGTGGGTGGCCTTGATAAATTTTAAACTCCCGGCCTGGATTTGGTTCCCACTCCGCCCCTGGAAGAAAGTACGCTTACCTTACCGCTGAAATTATGAAAAAATGCTTTTGTTGATTTGCATAAATAAACGATTTGTAATGTTATACTTTATTGGTTTTTATTTTAAATAGTATTTTATTTATTACAAGGTAGGTACTTTTAAACGCGTCAACACGAAATATCTAGTGTTTGAAAATTTCATGAAATTTAAAAAAATTAAATATTTCAAATGTGTGAAATATTTCTGTATTTTATTTCATTTTGTTTTATTTTTAAATAAGTTTTATATTTACATATAATTGTCATAAATTACCTCCATAATTGTATGGCACCGAAATATATACCTAACCGTTGGTATTATACATTTAAAATAGTATCCAGCATTTTTAAATATTTTAATGTTTAAATGATACAAGTATACATTATTATACATGTATATTGTATACCTACTGAATTCTTACATTAGAATTTAGAACACTGAACATTGTGTTAAAAAAATAAATAAATTGTGTTTTTATTTGTGTTAAAAAAAATTGCAATGTTCCACGTTTTTGTGAAATATTTCATACTTCAAACATTAGCTATACCTAGTGTAAATTAATTTATGTGTCTTGTGAAAATGGTAACTTAATTGCTTTCAGTTTATTAAGTATAGTGAAACCTCTAAATACCGGACCATCTCAGTCACTGACATTTTTTCCACTACCTATTTAATGTATAAGTATCAGCTCTTAAATTTTTTGGTAATGTTATATCCTTGTATAATATATGTCACACGAAATAAGTACTTAATACAACACCAACATGTAAATATATTTATATGTGGCAATCCGCTATTTCCATATATATTTGACATGTTTTTAAATTTTTTAGTGGAAGGATTGTCGAGCGAATTTCAAAACTAATCTTGAAAGTTTATATTGTCATTAGATAAAATTTTTCAAAAATATAAAATATAATTTTTTTAACAAGAATAGGGATAGAAAATCATTTTTTAAGTGCCGTTTATGTTGCATATTTTGAAGGAGAAGGAATTTATTGCGACCATCCAAATTGGGATTCATGTAAATGGCGATCTTGAAATATTTAAAATTATATTTTAATTATGTAAATATTTACCCAGGATTTTGTGATGGCACTCAGCCCATAAAATCGGTGGAAAACCAGATCCAATATACGGCTCTAAACCGTATTTATTTGATTCAACTTACGTTGCACCACTGATTGAATCAAATTAAAAATAGTATGCTTTAATTTGGACAGCCAGAAAACCTTTTATAATGTAGCATGAAAGTAAGAATAATATAGCACGCGCTACGTATGCCTAAAAATTTACTACCAATAAGGACCACGCGAAATCTTAAGTTACCTGCTACAATAAACTTCATCAAAAAACATAACCCCAAAATGATAATTATAATATGTTATATTATAGACAAATACTTATTTTAGTACCTATTTGTTTTTCTCAGTGCCGTAACTAGGCTACTTGAGGTCTGTGTGCAAAACCAAAACATTGAGGCCCCTTATTATCTTTTTCAATAGGTACACACCTCAAAAACTTTGTTTGCAATTTTTAAAGTCAGCAGTCAAAAATTCGGGCTTAAACAAAAAAAATTTTAAATTTAAAATAATCTATAATTTTAAAATAATTTCTCAAGGCTATAAATAACTCAAAAAAGTAAAAATTTTCCAAAATGTAATTTATTGAAAATATTAATATAAATATTTGGTGAAAACTTCAATGGTCTACGGTTGTTAGTTTTCGAGTTATACCAAAAAATAACATTTTTGTTTTAGGTAAAAATGACAATTTTTTTTTTTTGACACTTTTTAATATCTAAAACTAAAAATTTCGGTTTCGATCTAAAAAAGTACCAACTAGATTCACTTTTCTAACAGAAAAAATGCTGATCTCGAAATTCGAAATATTTTTACTACCCAATGTTGATGACCGACAGAAATGAAAAAAATTATACACATCTTGGAAAATCAGTACATTTGTTCGTTCCTCTCAAAATCTAAAAACAGTGATCACGACTCCAGGCAATATAAAAAAAAAAATGAAATAACATTGGTTTCGTTTCGTTTCCAAATCAATAATAAATAATTTATATATTTTAATAATTTTATATTAGTTTAATATTAGTCTTTAGATCTTTTGAGGCCCTTCGATATATATATGAGGCCCGAGGCCTGTGTGCGGTGCACACTTTGCACACCCGGTTTTTACGGCACTGATAATCAGTATTTGGTTAGTATATATAACCATTGATTATTTATAAATACTAGTACAATAAGCGGAAATCCATTAAAAGTTCAGGGGGGGGGGCTAACATTATTAACATCAATGTGAGTGGGGGGATTAAATCCCATACAACTAAAGAAGGAGGGAACTTTACGGACTTTTGGGGGGCTAAGCCCCCGTAATCCCCCTCCGATCACTACCTAAGACTTATTGTATCTAATACATAATTGTAATAGCACCAGTTGGGCTGAAACATTTTAAATAACAATAAAAAAAGATGAGCAAGTGGGTCACTGTACTTAATGGTATTTTATTATAATGTTAAATTAGAATTCAATGATATAATATCATTGTATAAGAAAAACGATTCTGAGCGAAAACGGTCAGTCAGCCTATGATATTACTATAGGTAAGTAATGTATACCTATTTGATGATATTATTGTGAATAAAGTAATTTATATATAAACTATTTACGCGGAACCTTGTTTTAAATTTGCAATAATTAGCTATACCTAAAGGCTAAAAATTGAACATTTTATAATTTTTTAACAACAAAATAATTATTAAATTTTGTCAAAATTCGAACTTTAAATGCTTATACATAAAAATTGTGCCAATGTATTTTTTATATTTTTCAACTGCTATTTAAGCAATATATCAGGAACCTTGTATTAAATGTTGACGCCTTTTGGCCTAACAAAAACTAAAAAAATTTAAATTTTAAATTGTCCGTAACAGCTCAAAACCAGTCAAAATATTTTGAAAATATTATGGTATATAAAAAATGAGAATTTAAACATTTAATCAAATTTTCATGAATCTACAGTTATTTGTTTTTGAATTACAACAAAATAAGAAAATCGCTTCATGATAAATCGAGTGAATATCTAATGTTGTAAAAATTTGAATTTCAAACTCTCATAAAAATTTAATTTGACTTTCCGGTAGAGATTTTTTTGTTGATAAAGGTAGACAAACTTGAAATCTTATATTAAATTTTCAAATATTAGATTTAAAAAGAAACATTTTTATGAATTTCTTACTCAAAATAATTTGCAAATGTTCGTGATATTTACGTGTTTTGTCAACATTTGAATATTAAACGCTTATACAAAAAAACTGTGACTATGGATTTTTAATATTTTTCAAATTTCATTGTAACAATATATTAAGAGCCTTGCATTAAATTTTCAAGCTTTTTTAACCAACAAATATAATTTTATTGACATTCATAGAAAAAATAAACTAAAAAAATTGTAAACCGTAAATGTCCGTATATAGTTCAAAATATTTTGAAAATTGTATCGTTTAAGTAAATACTAATATACACAACCGCAGTGAAAATGTCATGTTTATAATATACGGTAAATTATTTTAGAGTTACATCAAAAACCAAAATCGATATTGTGATTGTCAAAAACCAATATCCATTTTCCCTTCATTTTTATGTTGTTATATACGGCATATCCGTGAGGACTTCTAAGTTAACAAGTAATATTAAAAAAATATAATACATTTTGTATTATATGCAATGTTTTTGTCAAAAACTAGTAGGTATACAGTTGCATTTCTTCGGCCTTCCTACTGCACCACTGCAGTGTTACTAGGTAACAGAAAAATAAATTAGTAATAGTATCGACCGATACGTACTATATTATAAAACATCCTTAGAAATAGAGGCTGCAGTGGTGCTTCGAAACATTTTTCGTAAAGGTAGGTACAATGATAACATTAAATTCAAATTTAATACATCCAGTGGCGTGTAGGACTTTTTTTTGTGTGTAAGGCCCAATGCATTTTTATTTTTACTAGGTACCACCACCTCCACCACTAATTTTAAAAGTACAAACTGTACAATTACTACAATTTACAAGTTCCCTATCATCCCAACGGTTTGTTATTTGTTAACATTTAATTCTCTATTATGACAAGTCAGTCTCATATTATTCTCATGGCCTCACATCAGTTCACCCCACCACGCCCCTGAATACATCCATTACAGTGACACTTCTATGGTGGTGACACCATCTAAATGGACTGAAATGAGGTACACTCAGAACCTATACTACACAGAAAATAAAATTCACCGGCTTCTCTATTGAATCGTTTATAATTCTAACATATTAGTATAGTTAGTACCTATCGTTTCACAAGTCATTATATACTTACAAAATACTTAATTGTATTTTTTATTCGTTAATGTTTAATATTTAATTTACACTTTAGAAATAAATTAATCCATATCATGCATCAAGCCTAATAAAATATAATGTTGTTATGTTTTTTTTTAATCGAATTTTGTGTAAGAAAATGTTAACAACATTAGTTTCCATGAAACAAAATGTAATTAATATTTAATGTATATAACTTATAATAAATAAAACAATAAAACTAGTCAGCTAAAGGTATTAGGTATATAAATAAAACAGTTGTCTATTGTGTATATGTATATACATTATACTTACAGGCGACGCCATTTCGATTGTTTCTGATCGTTTGACTTTCGTCAAATGTTAATATAATTTATTGCAGAGTAGGTATATGAATAAAAAATAAAAATATTTTGAGTATTATGCAAATTGCAAACCCAATATGTTTGTAAGCAAACTGGATGAAATAGACAATAGCGACCAGTAGACGCCTTAACGAGCGAGGTGACGTCGAGAAGATGGACAACGCCACAACCATAGATAATTAACAATGTCCACAACGGTCACCGGTTGAGAATTGAGATTTGAGATGACGAGACATAAAATGGTAAAGCTTATTGGAGATTTGGAGCTTGGACGTTGGACCATAGTCCATAGAGTATAGACCAACGTCTACCTGGTTGAGGGTAACTGGCGGTGGCCAATTGCATATTCGCATTCCGAAAGTTGTACAGGATCCTTGGAGAGGAAGTTCTGAAAATAAACGGGGAATCATCGATAAACCTGCAAACATCGGTGAACGGTACTCGTAGCAGTTTAACAACCAGGATATTCCAAAATGATAAAAAAAGACGATTTCTATGATTTCTCGAAAATATGAGTTAATAGATGTCACGGACCACGGACTAAGATATATCATATGTCTTAGATCATAATATAATATTATATATATTATTAATATCATACAATCATGATTCATGGACATGATCACGGTCTTTACTCTTTAGTCTTTAGAAGATTTTTCTTGTTTATTAATCCCTGACCGTGTAAATTATTATAAATAATTTGATAATGTATATCACGGTTTCATTACGGTTTTTCTGTCTTAAACCGTGGTACCAGTGGTACTAACTACACTGTTAATATTATTCTTAGATCATATACTATGGATGGAGCCACTGCATATTATTTTGAAGCCGATATTAGCGACGAGTCACCGAATTAGGTGATCGATATGCGCATGCGCGAAACAACTCGTTTAATATTAATATTATAACTGTCCCCATCCCAGCCGAGTCACCGAATTAGGTGTTCGATATGCGCATGCGCAACGCAACCTCTCGCATATTTATCAGCTGGTGATTATAATATTAATATTAAACGAGTTGTTTCGCGCATGCGCATATCGATCACCTAATTCGGTGACTCGTCGCTAATATCGGCTTCAACTTTTTGTATTGCTATAATACGCAGTGGCTCCATCCATAGTATATGATCTAAGATATTATTATCACGAATAAAGATAGTACTATCTATAGCTGTGATATTTACATTTTACAAACAAACACGGTCAAACTCTCATAGTCGCATGGGTTGTGTAAATATTCTTGTATAGTCGTATAATCTGTGAACTGTGAAGTGTGAATCACATCATAATTTATATTGTGATTTAAGTGATTTTAATGTTTGGATTAACCTCACTCCTAGTTTTAAATTAACCTCATAACGAATTTGTCATATTTCAAGTCTTGTAATTTACTATATTATTTATGATCTCAAAATCTTATTTCCGTTGCCTTTTAAACAGACACAGAAGCTTCACTTTTCTTAAAGGTAAATTATAATTATAATTTTTAGTTCTTGGACAATTTGTATATTTATACTTATTACTTACCAAATTATATCAACTAATTTCTGGGTTCTTTAACAATGTTGCATTTGTTTAAATAGCTACCATATCTTATTAGGGCAATTAAGTGGGTGCTACCATCACAAAGCACCGTTAAAATGTATTACCTATTAAACTATATAGAACCTAAAAAAAATTTGAGATCATTATATTTTTATTTTGTTTTATTATTTTATTATGAATTATATACCTAATCTAAGTAAATGTTGGTGAAATTATATATTTATTTAGTTATACCTATAATTTGGAAGTTATAAAAGGTGAAATTGGTAAAATATGAAAGAAAAAAATATACGCAGTCGTTGCATAGGTAGCTACAGTTAAGGCCATAACATAAATATGACATGATCAAAAAGTCTTTGTTTTGAAAAATTGGCTTTTTGCTAAGTTTGATGAAACTTAAGAAAAATAAAATACCAACATTAAATAATTGTGTATAAAATACATACCTATATAATAAAAGAAAAATCTAAAAATTTGTTAGAAAATACTAATATGTACAAATGTGTATAACAATTAAGAAACAGTACATTTTTCTTAAATATATATTTTAAGTTTTTGTTTTTAAACTCTTCATTGTTAAGAACAAATGTCTAGGTTAGTCAGCTATAAATTGAGAGAATTTAGAAAGATATGCAACTTTTACAACTTCCGAGCCTTACCTAGTTACAAGCTATAACTTATATAAAAAAAGAAAGATACCTATGTTTGAAATAAATATATAATTCAACTATATACCTATATGCATTTATTTAATTGAATATTACCTTTTTTTAAGATGAGAAAATATATAGTGTGGTCGTAGAAAAAATGAAAATACCAATTAAATTATTTTTTATAGGAATTTTTTACTAGGGATTATAATCAGGACCGGCTCAAGCGAAAATAGTGAACTAGGCGAAATCAAATTTTGCCGCCCCTAATAATATAATATTATCAGTATTTTGAAAATGCCGCCTTCTTACTAAAGTGATACTTATGTGCCGCCCTAGGCGTGGGCCTATGTCGCCTACCCCTTGAGCCGGGCCTGATTATAATTTATAGGTATGTATAATCATTGAGTAAAATATATTATTCTATACTAAATACAATGTACAATATATTATACTCAGAGGTAATATACATGAATGAATTATGAATAATGTTAGAGTATTGGTATAATATTTTATACCAATATTGAATACTAAGTTGAATATATATTATTAAGGATTTTTAGTTCACATCAAGTAAACACAGGAAAAAACTCGGGAAAAAAGTACTAACAATATAATATTCTTTAACTATAAATTATTCTTTATAGAATCTTTAACATATAAGAGGTTCAATCAAGTTCATTTATTATGTGCCCACGAAAAAGCCTTGATTTTTGAGGGTAGGAGGGGGAGAAATGTCATCATTGAGGCTACATGTTAGTTGCATATCACTGGATTTGAAGTGAAAAATAAAATTGTTAACCACTTAAATTACATTAATAGTTTTCAATGTAAAATTAATTATTTTATGTAGAAGTGTCCAAAGTTTATAATCTGTACTTTATTTCAATTTTATCCGAAATCTAAATGTAAGTGAATTTAGTGTAGATATAAGACAAAAGTACAAAACAATAAGTATACATTAATTTATTAGGTCTTAGTTCTTATTATTATTCGAAATTTTTTATAAGCGGTCATGTATATTAAATGCTGTTTTAATTTTTATTTACAGAATAATAATTTTCTAAAATGACTGGAAAATTAAAAACTATTTGTTCATTAAAAGGCCATTCTGGTATTGTATGGAATGCATCATGGCATCCAAAAGGACAGATGTTGGCTTCCTGTGGCGAAGATAAAACCATCAGATTGTGGAATTATAAGGATGGTGATAAAAGCACATTAAAGTGTTTGCTAGCTGATGGCCATCAGCGTACTGTCAGGGCAATCGCATGGTCGTATTGTGGTCAAAGTTTAGCATCAGCTAGTTTTGATGCAACTATAGCTATTTGGGATAACAAATCTGGACAATTTGAATGTAATGCTACTCTGGAAGGTCATGAAAATGAAGTTAAAAGTGTAGCATGGTCAAGATCAGGCTCAATGTTGGCGACGTGTAGTCGTGATAAATCTGTATGGGTATGGGAAGTATGGGAGGATAACGAATACGAGTGTGCAGCAGTCTTAAATGCACATTCACAAGATGTTAAGAAAGTAGTATGGCATCCCCACGAAGATATATTGGCATCAGCTAGTTATGACAACAGTGTTAAGTTGTACATGGAAGATGCAGACAAAGAATGGACTTGTGTGGGTACTTTGAGCTCACACACATCAACTGTCTGGAGTTTAGCGTTTGATAAGACTGGTGATCGACTTGTGACTAGTAGTGACGATCGGACTTTAAAGATATGGCAAAAATATCTTCCAGGTTAAAAAAGTTATTTCTTTTTTGAAATTATTTTAAACATTGTAAATCTATTTCATAATTTTATTGCAGGTAACCCTGAGGGAATTTCCGTTAAAGATGCAAATTTTGTATACAAATGTGTATGCACAATTAGTGGATTTCATACAAGGCCAATTTATGATGTTACTTGGTGCCATTTGACAGATCTAATTGCCACGGCATGTGGTGACAATTCTATAAGAATATTTAAAGAAGAAGATTTATCTGACCGTAATCAACCATCATTTTCATGCGTTTCACACGTGAGTGAAGCTCATTCACAAGATATAAATTCTGTTCAGTGGAACCCTGTTGTTAAAGGAGTTTTAGCATCTTGCAGTGATGATGGATTGGTAAAAATTTGGAAAATGGAATCAACATAAGGCTATCACAAAAACATTTAGCTTTGTTTAATACTTTAATCCGTGTATTGTTATTATATCATTGTATTGTATAGAAATTATAATATTAATTCAAAATATATTTTGAATGGCATGATTATTTGGAAATTAAAGTTAAGCATCTGAAATGATGCATTAATATCATTACTGTGTGATAAAGTTTATTAATAAGAAACCAATACAGTTGTATTTTATATTTATTTCAAAAATGATTTGAGAATGAATACAATCCAATTTAAAATACAGTATTAATTTACCGAATAAAAACCTTCCTGCCATTTTTTTTTAGGACTCAGCATAATTTTCCTGTCACTTTTGAACAAACTAAGAAGTATAATTCCAGTTGGCTATTTAATGTATTATAATTATGGAGTTCACCTCATTAGCTTAGATTAACACAGAACGAGTGGTAGGTTTACAATAAATGAAGATACACATATTTGGCCATTGGAAGAAAATACAAATATTTTAATAAATGGAAACATTTTTGTATGTAATAAAACTAAATAACTGTGGAAGCGTTCTATAACTATTAGCTTCTATATTATACTTTCTTTTAGGCATTAAAATATGTAACGGATTGTTTGATTTTGTTGAATAATAATGAAAAAAGACATTTACAACACAATCACAACTATTTAACTTTTTATAGTCCTACTTTGACTATTTGCCAATATATAAAAGTTTATAACATACAATATAATAGATACTTAAAACACATCAAAACCGGGTCCAAAATATTGGCTGTTTTCGATTTCAAATGGATGTGACTTGTGAGTTTGTGATTCCATTAATATGTTGAACGGGATTTAGTGTCACATGTCATATATCCAATTTGTTTAGGGTTTTTTTTTATTTGTATGCAATCCGAGTTAAGAAATTTATAAAAAAATGATGGTGTATTATCTTGGATTCTGAACATAGAGACAAAGATATTGATTTTTTAACACAAGGTACCTCATAAGTTATTACTGAAATAAAAAAATCAGATCTAAAAAGTATCATAGTACTAATGTACTATCAACTATCAAGTATATAGTGTATACCTATAAACACAATTTTCTTTTATAAACATTTGTCATTCAAGTACGAATTTGGAAGAAATTAAATATTTAAAGTAATACATATTTATAAATTTAGTTATTTTGTTGCACCTAATTCAAAAATGTTTGTTTTTCAATGGGATTTGAAACGTTCATGATGCATACTATTATATTTTATATAGGTATAGGTACACATAACATTTTCAAAACATTTAGATTAATTTTATTGTATTTCCTATTTTATGCAATGAACTTTTTCTCACCGTTCCTCACGTCTAGTCACGACAAGTCGGTATTAACTCATAAGTGAATGATGAATACTTGTTGATGTTTAACTTAGCCGTAGCCCCCCCCTCCCCCCCCCCCCAAAAAAAAAACCTAGTGCATACAATTTTAAAATGCTATATTGCAATGGTCTGCTTGCCTTTAATATATTCAGTAAAGAGATAAGGCACTTTATTACCAATAATACAAAATGAAATAGAACTAGGATAGTAGGATCAATATTATTTATTCAGATCAATGTCGAGCATATAGTAGGTAGGTACCTTAAAAGATAAAGGTTATCATCATGAAACCGTCAATCATTCAGAGATTTTTGTTGATCCCTAAAACGGCCGCACTAACACAAACGATCGAATGTATATAGTATATGGATACATGTCAAAACTAAATATGGAATTAAAACCCGTGGAGCAACAGATTGTTAGACCGACCATATTAAGAATGGTGGCGGTCCATTAATACGCAACAAGACTTATAAGAAGTTTTCTGGGATATATTTAAAAATAATATATAATGTATAATAATATATAATGACGCATAGAAATATTATAAAGTACTTGACAACGATAAATTAATAAATTGTTATTAATATTGTTGTTAATTGGTTATTAATCAATAATCAGTAAACGTTTTTTGGTAGGTATCATTTTACGGTAGGTAGCAATGTAGCATACATATTTTATGAGCATGACAAATTTAATTTAATTTGTCATGTTTATGAGTATAAAACGATGTACACTCGACACCTACTGTACATCAGAGTGGTTAGGTACTTACTACCTACTTCCCCCTTTTTTAGGATTCCGTACGGTAAAACGGGACCCTATTACTAACGCCCCGCTGTCCGTCTGTCACCAGGCTGTATCTCATGAACCATGAAAGTTAGAAAGTTGAAATTTTCACAGATTATGTATTTCTGTTGCCGCTATAACAACAAAAATCCTAGAATCCTAGAATATATAATATAAGCAGTGTTTCCAACATGTTTATATATGATGGTACGGAACCTTTCGTGAGCGAGTCCGACTCGCACTTGGCCGGTTTTTTTAGATTCTGAACGGAGCTATGAATGTATTTTGTAATTGAATCGCAGCATTACAATACATATATATATATATAATATTATACCCAATGTCGGTGATTGAGGATCTATGCGCATTTGTACTGCGTTGAAATAAAATAAACAATTTTTTTAAATAATAGATACATTTTTTACAGCAACCGCGACACGTACCGGAAGTCATCCGCGGGCTGTACATCCTTATTGCACTACCGGCCAACGGAACATGGCGACACTGTCGGAAGTCATCTCGACGTTGAAGAAAATGGCGCCGCTGTCCCTGGCAGAGTCTTGGGACAATGTCGGTTTGTTGGTGGAACCGGACGTCCAGAAATCTGTCAGCCGCGTTTTCCTCACCAACGATCTGACCGAGGACGTGCTGGAGGAAGCCGTGAGCGTCGACGCCAATCTCATCGTTTCCTACCATCCACCGGTGTTCGCTCCGTTTAAAAGAATTACTTCGGACGCCTGGAAGGTACCAATAAACATTGATATGTGTTTTAATATTTTACATGTCCTATATGAACGTTAGATTAGTAAAAACACGATCTTGGAAAATGCCGGGGCTCACCATAAATATGAGCGGCTATACTGCTGCTCCCGCAGACGAGCTGTAAAATCGCAACAAGTTTGCGATGAAATATCTCGTTCGCTATTTTAATGGAAAGTTTTTAATGAAAAGATAATATGTTCATTAATTCGAAGTTTAAAAGTTTAATAGGTAGGTTAGGTTTGGTTTGCCAATTTTAGTTTAAATGAGCCAGACTTCAAATCAAGTTTAATATATGTACCTACTACCTAGCCTGTAGCATGTACATACAGGGTGTCCCGTGAGGATTTACTCATTGCGATATCTCCTGAAATAATGGAGATATCGTAATTATGTTTTTTTATTAAGACTCGCAGAGGTAAGCACTACAAATATTTTATTTTTTTTTTTATTTATTAGTAAAAAAGTTAAAAAAATTATTTTTTTATTTTTTTATTTTTGAAAAAATTGAAGATAGCCATTCTATAGAGTATATTATTGTGAACATTTTGAGCTTTTAACATTTTATTTTCATTAATCTTATGATTTTTAATAATTTTTTTAGTTTATTAGTAAAACGTCAATAAACTGGTTTTTGTCCGGGCGGCGAGTCCCCCTCTACGGCTAATGAGTAAATCCTCACGGGACACTCTGTATAAATATATAATACAACTTTATTTATATTAAACTATTAATCAGAACTTTATTAATTATCACACTCTTATTCGAATATTTAAAATACAAATTAAATATTTTAAAATAGGAATATTATAATATATTGAAGAAACCGTCATTGATATAACAAAATTGCGTTGTGATATTGGTATATTATTTTTGCAATATAACAAAACTATAATACTCTCAAAAAAAATCCAAAAATGTTTTGAAAATATCAAGTTATAAATCTCGCAAATATATATATTTTTTTATGTTCGTTTATATAGAGTCGTATCATAAGTCGTTGTCTTGGCCGAGGAATCGCTGTATATTCCCCTCATACTTCGTGGGATGCTGTAGAAAATGGTTTAACCGATTGGTTGATAAGTTGTTTTGGTAAGAATATAATATTGTGTAAAGTATTTAAAAATTTTTTTTTTTCTGTCGTGCGGTCAAATTTCATCGAACGAATTTATATTATAACAATAATAAATTGATAAATATGTATGTTCATAGACGGTACGGTGTCTACAATACAACCGCTAAATATAAATCCAGAATTTAGTCACGTCGTGACTTTATCGGCAACTCTGAGCGATAATACTCTTTTGGGCGGAAAAGAAATCAGAACCATTGTAGAATCATCAGACTTTCAAGCCGACAAACACTTCAAGTGAATTAGCTATCCAATTTTTAGTGTTCCAATGCTTGTACCCGAGAACTCTGTTATTGATTAATATTTTTTTTACAGAGTTGTAGGTTATAACGATTCTCAACTTCAACTGTTATGCAATTCGAGTTCTTTAGTGACGCTGAATAAAGTTGCCAAGTTTTCAAAATACAACCTTTTTTTTTACGCCAACAAAAATGAATCGGTTAGTATGCTTCTTTATACGAGGGTTACAATGCATCCATTCCTTGGCTTATGTATACACTAAAAACTAAAAATTAGTAACTATTCATAAAAAACATAAGCTTAACCTAATGAATTATTAAATTACGCTAAGTAAAATTGATGAAACCATTCATATAACCATTAGCAAAACCTATTATTGAAGCAGATGATAGGTGCATTTAAAAAAATATTACCTGTTTTTCATTAAATACTAGTGGATCTCGTGTACTTCGTTACCCTTTAAATGTACCAAATCAATATGACTCAAACATTGTTAAATTCGTTATTTAATATTCAGTGTATGGTGTTCAAAATTTATCTTCACTTTTCCGTTGCCCGGAATAATAATAATAATAATTCTGATTCACAGCAGTATATTATCAGGTAGGCAATCTACCTGTGGTAGATCGCGGACCCCTTGATGTTCGTACGTAAATGTATGATTTAACTCTAAAGTATCAAAGTTATACCAAGTTTGTTGTATTCCACCTATCATGGATTAATAGAAGCAGTTAATACAAAATCCTAACCAGATGAATAAAAAATAACCAAATTTAACCATTTTTAAATTAGCCTGTCTTCTTCCCAGAGGTCTAATCTACTCACATTAATTTATTTATATTTATATTGAAAAAAAAACAAAATACAAATCAACAAATATGACCGATTAACCAATAGCAACCAATATAAATTATAATACACTGTTGCGCCACTGTTGTATTTTTTTCATCCAGATTTCCTACTTTTCCGGTTGATTTTCCTAAAATTTTCTTTCGTATAAATCTTCTCCTGGCAATATCGAACATCTTAAAAAAAATTTGAGCCAAATCGGACCAGCCGTTCTCGAATAAAAAATAAAAATAAAACAATAACAATAATACAAATCATCAAACATGCCCAATTAACCAATAGCAACTAATAAACAATATACATTTATTATTTTAATCTGAAACTAATTTTTTTATTACTTAGTTAATTTTTTTCTGGAAAGATGGCGCCACTATTGTATTTTTGACATTCAAATTTTCTACTATTCCGGTGGATTTTTCCTAAAATTTTCTTTCGTTCCAATCTTCTCCAGGCAATTACGAACATCTTAAAAAAAATTTGAGCCAAATCGGTCCGGTCGTTCTCGAGTTTTAGCGAGACAAACGAACAGCAATTCATTTATATATATATATATATATATATAGATTGTACATTCAATAAATTGACTTAAAACCGCAAAATTCAAATATGTATTCTCACCTAAATATAAAATTATTGATTTAATAATTAATTAGCTTTTCTATACATAAACGTTGAGTATATTATACTAAATACTTAGCATATAATATAATGATTCTTCAGTATAAAAACAATCAAAATAAAAAAAATTCCAAATAGTAATAGCATCTTATTATTTTTCGTGACGAAATTAATATTTTCAGTTGCCGTCGAGTTCTACGGGCTCCGGCCGTTGTTGTCAATTTAGAAACGGACTGACGATCAATGCTGCCATTGAAAAGATCAAACGTCATTTGGGCGTCGACAATTTAATGATAGCGCTGGCCAGAGGATCGACATTAGGTATATTACAATATGATTCAATGATTTTATACTTAAATAAATCTATTAACTATCTATTAATCTAACTATTCTAACTTTTATGCTACACTATTACGATACAATTTCCCCCATTACCCTAAATTCGGCCATGACTTAATACTTAAGAGCCTATATATACTGCAGAACTATGGCGGCACAGGTATATAATTTATGTGTACCAGTAGGGTGGTTAGGTTAGGTTAGCAACCATGTAAAATATATGACTCAGATAGGTCATTTTTTGATATTATAAAAATTAGATGGGAGTTTTTCACTTCCTCTACCTATTTAAATTATTTTTAACCAAACAAATGTCTATTTAAAAATTGCTATTTGCTATACTTGCAACAACGTTGTTATTGGGACTCTCTATTGACTATAATACTAAAGGGTTTTTCAATAAAGACGCTCGATGTTTCATAGTGAAAAAAACAAGTTGTGTGTGAGATATATACCTAATTTTTATTTTATTTTAAAGAACGTTATATGGCAATTATTTATGGAATATAACATCGTTCAAATGTCCGCCTCGGCTTTGCTTGGTGGCACGTATTCGGGTGGTCCAATTTTCTATTACTTTGTTGCATAAATCTGGTTGAATTTGCTTGATGGTGTTGATTATGTTGACTTTGAGGGCATCAATTGTTTGTGGTTTATTTGCATAGACCTGCGATTTAAGATAGCCCCAAAGAAAAAAGTCTAATGGCGTTAAATCGCACGATCTCGGAGGCCAGTTTATATCACCATTGCGTGATATCACCATGCCCTCAAATCGTTCACGCAGAATGTCCATCGTTGCACGCGCTGTGTGACACGTAGCACCATCCTGCTGGAACCACATGTCCTCAGTATCCATATCATCGAGCTTAGGCCAAAAAAAGTTGTTGATCATTGATCTGTAGCGCTCACCGTTGACGGTTATGGCAATGCCTGTTTCGTTTTGGAAGAAGTATGGACCAATGATTCCGCCAGACCAAAATCCGCACCAAACAGTGACCTTTTCGGGATGCATTTTGTTTTGGTGTGTCTTGTGTGGATTGGTATCATCCCAAATCCGACAATTTTGTTTGTTAACGTATCCATTCATCCAAAAATGGGTCTCGTCGCTAAAGATTATTTTTTTAGCGAAGTTTGGATCAACTGCTAACTGCCCCAGAACCCAATCGGCAATCAGCGAATACACGACGTTGTGTATGGTCATTTACCTTGAGTGCTTGTGTTAGTTGGATTTTATACGGGTGCAGACCCAAGTCTCGACGCAAAATTCGCCAAGTTGAAGTCACAGAAAGACCAAGTTCTTGTGAACGACGAGGAATTGACTGTCTTGGGTTTTCCCGTACACTATCACGCACAGCAGCGATGTTCTCAATGGATCTTGCATTTCGTTGACGTATAGGTGTTGGCTGATAATTTATTGAACCAGTAGACTCGAATTTGGCTACCAAACGTCGAATAGTCGACTCAGCAGGACGGTTGTGTCGAGGATAAAAATCGCGTAATGCGCGGAAAGTTTCTCTAACGGAGCACTGATTTTGGTAATAAAATTTAATTATACGCACACGTTGTTCTACGCTATAACCGTTCATGGGGATTTGCCATACGGTACTGAACAATTCACAACAATTATGCAGATAAGGCTTTAATGACATTCCCGATATATCCGATCAAAGTTCGAGCGCCTCTATTGAAAAACCCGTTATATTCGTTAGCGTGTTCCATGGTTGCATCTCAAATGCACAACGGACAATACTACAGCAATTTATAAAATATAACATTTTTATGGTTACGTATGTTGTGTGTCTACCGTACTTACCTAGTTACCTATAGACTGCGTGCGCGAGATGGAATACAACGCGGTCTAGTGGTAAACTCTTGTACTAGTGCAGGGGATCAAATTCAAGTTTTTTTATTACGTTATATGGGAAAACGCGTGAAAAACTGTAAATAATTGTTTTTTTTAACTGTCGATTAATATACATTTATTTAAAAATAGTCACATTTTATAATTACTAAATGGTTGAATTAATATTAAAATGTTTTTGATCATCTGCCTAATCTGTGCATTTAATTCGGTTCTTAGCTAGGTGCCTACCTAAACAATTGTTTTCTTGTAAAATTAAAATTAGATAATGATACTCCATTTTCCAAGATATTCCATTAGATAATGGAAAGTTCAAACTTCGAAAGTTCTGAATTAATTATTTTCAAAAAAAATAAAATAAATTATGAGTAATTTAATAATAAAGTATGGCTTTCAAAGCATAAATTCACATTTTGAATTCTCTAATAATAAAGGTTTAAAGTTGTATGAAAGCAATCATGTCCTGAATGTACAGGAGTTTAGACCAATTGAAGGATTTTGTGTAATAACTGGTTTGGTTGTAAGGCAGACAAGTGTTTCTTTAGACCCATATAAAGTACAGCTCGAGGTAAAATGTATATTTATAATTTATATTCATATATAACACACATATTATGTTGGTACATAATGTGTGTATTATTTTCTACAATAACTGTTTTCTCAAATAAAAGCACTTCACAATAAAACAAATTCTCTTGTTTTTTAATAGTTGGATAGTACTAGAACCATAAAGAATGCTGTGTGTCAATGTCCAGCTGGGGCTGGATCTAAATGTAAACACATAGCTGCCCTTATTATATATGTTAATTCCGAAGAAGGAACTTCAAAAACTGATGAGCCACAGCAATGGGGAAGACCCGCAAAGTATTGTGAAAGTTTATATAAAAAAGGCAAAAAAATATCAGATCTTTTCCCTCAAAAACAATTGAATAATAACGTTCCTATTCTGAGCCATAATGATTTCATTCAAAACCACAATATACTTTCATTGCCATGTAGTTTAAGTTATAATTTGTGTTCAGAGCAACGTTCTGAAGTTGATAGACAATGCTCTAATATCTTAAATAATATTATAGATAATATTGAACAAAGCTTAAAATATGACAGTTACAATGATTTTTTGTCCAATATTATCATCAAGCAAGTTCAATCTGATTTTCCTAAATTCTATTCTGCATTTCCACTAACATTAACTGAGCATACTTACTTCTATGAGAATATTTATGTTAATGAAACAATGATAAAATCAATTTTTAATCAAACACTCGATCAGTCCCTTAATTTATCTTGGAAACAAAACCGAAAGATGCGCATATCAGCAAGTTTAAAAGCACACAAAATAAAAACACTAAGGAATAAGTCTGAAGAATGTCAAAATAAATTAGCAATATCTTTATTAAATGAAACTGTAATTGTAGGAAAAGGAGCCAGTAATATACAATATGGATTACAAACTGAAGACAAGGCATTTAATAAGTTCTGTGATATGTACAACATTGATGTAGTTAAAAGTGGGTTGGTTGTTCATATTTGTAGACCATGGATTAGTGCCAGTCCTGATGGTTTGATATTAAAAAATGGAAAAATTTCTTCAGTTTTAGAAATTAAATGCCCCAGCTCATGCAAACAAAAATCTATAATTGACCAATTAACAGGAAAATCAAACTTAAGCTATATTGAAGTTAAAAATGGTGAAGTTGGGTTAAAATATAGTCATATATATTATACACAAATACAAATGTTACTGTATTGTACAGGTTTAAATGATTGCCACTTATTTATCTTTAATGAAATTAAGCCTTTGTTATTAATAATTAAAAAAGATTTAACCTTTTTAGAAAATATTATTCCAATATTGGATAAATTTTACTTTTATTTTTATTTACCAAATTTATGTAACCAATCAAATACATTATAATATTTAGTTAATAATAAGTAATTTGTTAAGTAATAATAATTAGCATAATATATAATACATATTCTTATGTTTAAAATATTTTATCAAAACTACCTAATTCTACTGTTTTATAATTGGTGAACTTAAATTTACCAATACACAACAAATGAGTAATAAATTATCAATGTATTGTAAAAGATCAGTTGTTATTTTATTCAAAACATTAAAAGATTTTAATCTTGCAAAAAATCGTTCGATGTGTATTCTGACACTAGCAACATTATATGTTTTTATTACTTCTTCTTCAGAAAATCTACCATTATGAAGCATTGGGGGCATAACTAGTATACTATTTTGACCTTCAACACCTGGTTGTATTCCAGGAAAACCTTTATCGGCAAGAACTTGGTCTCCAGGTTCAAGCTTATTTAAAAATCCGGAATCATTGGTGATAAAACTATCACTAGACCTACCTCCGTATGCTTTAGATAGAAAACTAACCATACCATTTGGTGTAATTGCAACTAATACTTTAATTGTATAACCACCTTTGTATCGGGAATACAAGCAAACTCTTTGTTGAACTGTTTGAGGTTGCTCAACTCTTATTTCCGTGCAATCAATGATACACCTACAATGAGGGTAATGTTTTTTAAAAACCTCTGGTAATGTGTCTACAATAGTTGTTTTACTTGGCCAGAAAATTAAATTATTTGTTTTATGACTTAAAATAAGTAAACATTCAGAAAATACTCTACTGATGGTAGTTCTATGGACTGAAAAAAATGTACTAAGGGCTGAATATGTTAGACCTAGTTTAACTTTCATCAACATAATTAAAAGGGTATCTTCTGTACTAATTATGGTACGATTTGTTTGTGGTAATAACGACAAAAGAAAATTAAATATTTTGAAAGTTACACCTGTTATATCTTTTAATGCATTTTCAGACTGTATAGAATTATATCCATGAAATGATAGGCAGGACAAACAAGAACTTGTATTTGAAGAATCTACTCCACAAGATTTTTCTGCACTTTTCGGTTTAGTAAAATTTAGATTTAAATTTACTGATGCTTGAGTACCTACATTATTATTACCTTCATAAACACAATAAAAAATAAAATTTTCCTCAGGCACCTCAAAAGCTACTTGAGTACTAATATTAATAGATGTTATATTATTTAAATCTAGTTCTGTAGAACTAGTAGAAGGTATTATTTGATTATTTATTTCTTGAAATTCCATGGTTTGATTTTGACGGTTGATGGAGCGCTCATATCTGGCAATATTTTGTAGTACATTGATGGTTTTTTTTTTGTATACTTCAGGAAATATTGAAGGTATATACGACGGGCTTCTGGGATCAAGAGACCTATTATTTAAATAGCAAAATAATTTAAAATTTTGATTTAAATTATTAAACACTCTTAATAATATCAATACAAATGAAATATAAGATAAAGAAATAAAAAAGACATTAATACTCATGATAAGAAGTGCTATTTTTTCTATGTCTCACATATTGGAATTATTAAGAATGTTTAATCACTTTTAATAAATTATTTATATTATATTCAATAAAACTTAATTATGACCTCTTATTATTAATAAAATGGGCACTACAAACAACACTATGAACACTAGGACGCCAAGGTTTTCCATTTTCTCTAAATTACAACAAAAAAATATTAACAAATTAGAATAATAATAACTATTTAATTTGAGCATTTTTTTCTTTATAATGTAGGGCATAAACACATCTAATTGATTATTATGAACGAAAAATAAAAATAATTAACTTACATGATTCTATTAATTGCTTTTATCCACTTTTCTTTTGTCTCTTTCTCGTAATCACGATTTGGAAATCGATAAAATGTAATATTATTAGTATTTTTATATGAATTACTGCAATTTACTACACAGCAACTATTTTTTGACTTTGTAGTACCACTCATTATAATTTATAATAATAATCAATAAATTATTCAACACTACTACTTACTAGTTACTAGTTTAGTAATAGTTTTTACCCCTGCACTAGTATGATAGTTGTCTCCCCAGAGCGCTAGTAGTACCACCGCACGCAGTCTATAAACAAAACATTTTATATTTAGCGTAAGACTTATACAGTTATACCTAATATTAATGATTTTGACGAATGCCTTAAGTTCAAAGTGATGGGGTGCTCAATTAAGACGATTAGTTGAAAAATATTTTACAGCGAAATCCATAAGCTAATCAAAACTGATACATGTTAATACAATTAATAAATGTAAATTGGCGTACGAGATTTTTTTCTTTTAAAAAATTAAAAACTATTCAATATTTAAAAATATTTTGAAGAATGAAATATTAAAATGTATATTACCATTATTACCATTTTTTTATTGCAGGCTCTAATTTATTATATTTTCATAAATCATAATAATCGATTTTAATATTATATTATTATAAATTATAATGCGTTTTGTTACCTGCGTGATTTACAGAATCGACGATTGACTCGGCCGCGGCCGTGGCCGGTTCTGGTGCATCCGTGTTGCGCGGCGTCCACGCCGATCTGTACTTGACCGGCGAGATGTCTCACCACGACGTGCTGGATGCGGTGCACAACAATGTGACGGTGGTGCTGGCCAATCACAGCAACACCGAGCGGAGCTACCTGAACGTGTTCGCCGGCCGACTGCTAGCGGAGATGCCTCAGTTGAACGTTCACGTTTCGAAAGTCGATCGAGATCCGTTGGTGTTTGTTTGAATACCATAAATATATTACCTATATTAAAATATAATCGTACACAATATTTCCGTTTGTTTTTCTTTCATCTCCTATTTATTATAATTGTATCATATTTAAATTAATCTAAAAGTTAGAAATATAATTTCATTCTCAGATATATAATAATATAGTTAGTATAGTTATAACTTATATTATAGGTTTAAGGTATATAATATAGATAACTTATAAGTTATCTATACCTAAAATAACAACGACTAACGAGTCATCATTATATATCTATCATATATGAATAACAATAATATATTATGATATTTTTATATACTGATTAAGACTTTTATAGTATAACTTACCAATTACGCCTCCCAATAACTGTCTGGACCCCCCCCCCCCCCCCCGAAATCTTTCAATATCTTATTTTCAACCAAATATCAAAACCTAAATTAAATAAAATTACAATATAGATGTTTCGGACTCCCCCAAAAATGTCTGGATACGGCCTTGGATGTATATAATATAAATATCACACCTCCCCATTAAAGGTACGGTTTCATTAACGCAGTTGACTGCAGCAGTCAACTGCAAGCCTGGTCTGAGCACCAGTAGTCTGCAGTCGACTGCACCGGTATTTTGTATGACTGCTGCAGTCGGTCGCAACAGCCAAACCAGACCTTAAGACTAAACCACTAATTAATGTTAATACAAAACAAAATAATAATAATTTAACATACACAAAAAAATATATACAAAATACCACGTGAATATAGTTGAACAAATATAAATGAAATAAATAACTCTAATTTGAAATAAAATCTTTTAATTTGATTGGAACCTTTTTTGTTCTTTTTTCCTTATTATCATTCCTATACGTAGAACTAACTACCTCATTTTCGATATTATGTACCTAATTTTCTTTCCGTTTCAACTATTTTCGCCTCGATAATTTGATCAACGTGCCTAATACATGTTTTGTCATCCTTCGATTCGTATCCATATCTTTTAGATACTTTCTTCACTGTTGCTCCCATCCAAGATTAGTTTACCTCTTTCTCATCAGAGTTGACCTATTTTTAATCAGACTTGACCTCTTTCTCATCAGAATTGGAGAAAAGGGTGGTAAATTGTTCAATTTCAGTTGTTATTTGTTTTTCGCTATCCAAATTTAACCATACAATCTATAGTTCATGCACAATTTTAAAGATTACAGTGTTAGGGAAGTTATATTTCTTTGGTAATTAAATTACAATACGAATATAAGTTATGTAGGTACTTGTCCAAAACTTGACTACTATGATTAAAATAAAAAAAACTTAGAACCTATTGTTCTATGATAAAATAGAAACTTTACCTAGGTACTAATTATTTACCTACTTATTTACAGGTATTGCCTAATCAATTGATTTCAAATTTTAAAAATTATTCTACTATAATAATGAACCGTTGTAGGTATATAGTACTATATACCTATAGTAGTATACTAGTATATTTTAAGGTACCTATTATGCATACCTAATATGAAATGCAGGGCATGTCTTCATCTACGATCCAAAAATTCAATCTATGAGTATTTGTGAATATACCTTAATAACCAGAATGGAACAAAATATACGAGTACATATTGGTATCTTTGTTCGTCTCAGGCGATTATTGCCATTTGCCAAAGGTTATTTATAATTATAAGCTAATGTTTTTTTTTTCTGCGTCTGTCACCGTAAAACTGCTTCGATTTTCTTCAACAGTATCTTGTTCGATGGGAAAATGAATCTAGTTGGTGCATAATGACGAATACCGGAATACAGGCTTTCGACTATATAATGAAGAGCGATACCGATTTCTATATAAACATTTATAATCTTATTTTCATTTGAATACGAGTAACGAGTAACATATTATATTCCTAAACCACACAATTATTTTCAAAATAATCATTAAGAGGACGTCGCAACCGCATGTGTTGGTCTCCGTCTTACACGCGTATGAGTGTATGACATAGCACATTTTCGTTCGCTAGTTTCAATAGGGTGCTGTCATTTTTGATTTTAGAGTGAATTGACCTATTATCAAACTTGTACGTAACAACATTGCCTGTGTTCTACTGTTCTCTCGTTACCTAGTTTACGATATTTTAATTTTTAAGTGAGTTATGAGCATTTTGAAACATTAATATTTTACATACTGATAACTCACTTAAAAATTAAAACATCGAAAAAAACCAACGAGAGAACACAGGTAATGTTGTTACTTAAAAGTTTGATAATAGGTCAATTCACTCCAAAATCAAAAATGACAGCTGCACCCTATTGAAACTAGTGAACGAAAATTTGCTACATCGTACGTGTGTAAGACGGAGACAACACATGCGGGTGCGACGTCCTCTTAAATATTTTATGCTATAAAATATTAATATCTTAGACAAGTTCTACGCCTGAATTCGTTAATATGAATGTTGGTCCATTTGTATCCCATAGGCGAACAATGCAAATAAGGCATAGAAAATCGAAACAACCGACATCACCCCAAACCATGACCGATTTTCATTAAAAATTGACTAGAGACTATGTTCATCTTTCGACTTCCAGTGATGGATAATGTACCCATTTATATGGGAAAAATAGGTAATGACCCTGAAGAAGGGATAACAATGTTATTTGTATTACCAGAAATTAAAAAGTACCTAAACACCATGGTAGGTACTTAGAAAATCAACTACCTACCGTGATAGGTATCTATGTAAATAAATTATAATAACTGTATAAAACCTATTTGTTTTTCTTTTCAATATACTTAGGACAGGAATCAGGATCAACATTTTTGATGGATGGTACATTTGCTGCAACTCCATCATTTAAACGGGAGTGTATAACCTTTAACACTGTAAGTTATGCTTATGTATAAGAATAATTATATTCATGTATATAAATATTATAATATAACAATCGTTGCTTTTAATTTGGTGAAAATATATTAATGATTATAATATTTATATATTACATTCCTATATAAGTTTGAAAATATTTAGTTTTATAAGTTTATAAGACTCTGCCGAATGTATGCAAATCAATTGACTTACATATTGATGCTAATAATTTTAATGCAATGGTTAAAAGAATCAAGATAAAGGTATTTACAGATGAATTGTTAAAGCACAGAAAAAAGGGGATAAATAAACTTTCAAGTCAGTTTGTTAATTTATATTTACAATTTTTATTTTGTTTGAAATTAAATTCTTGCCACAGCGTTTAAATTAATAATTAAATTATATTGATCTGCAATACAAATTTTGATGTGTGTAGTTTCAAATACACTAGTTACAGATACCAATAGTTAAAATATAATTGAACAATGAAGGTTCAATGCTGATTGAATGAAAAATTATTTGCAAAGTAGAAATCATCATGTAGAGCTTCCATCACCATCAGATTTCATGTGGCAATACATATTTATAGAGATATTTGTAATATGATAAATCGGTATACGAGATATACCGAGAATTACCTATAGAAATGGCCGAAAAAGCTTATGGCTTATAGGTACTGAATATATGGTCTACACTCTACTGATGAATCATATATATGATTAAATTTTTCTGAACCTATTTTAAAAAAATATCAAAATCTGCAGCATTGCATACATGTGTAGTTGAGTAAGATTTCGGAATTATATTAAAAAAATATTAAAAGTTATATTAAAAAAATGTAACCAAGGTTGTTACAATTTTAATATAATATTAATATAGGGATCCCATATTTTATTTTGCTCAAACCAGGACAAACAATTTTTTATGTAATTCTTATGGAATAATCATACCACTTTTCCTTGGACAACCACCAGTAATAATACAATACTATTATAATATATATCAGTATTTTAATACAATATAATACTCACAATTGTCAGCACTTTACAGCATATTATGTTTGGAATTCAAAAACTAACTCAACATTACAAATTTGAATGAATTAACAATAAAATTATTAATTAGCGATGTGATAACAAAAATTGTTGTGGGAAACAGGAAAACAGTGAACATATTTATCAACTGTCGTCACCAAGCCAGGAAAATAACTGTAAAATAGATTAAGCTAGTGATTCAAATAATTAACTTGATTGTATAATTATTTATCAAAACAATATGGTTTTTCTATTAGAAATGTTGAGTAAAAGAGTAAAAGATAAAATATTAACATAAATTATTGAAGTTTGATTCCGCGACAAAAAATTGGCCGTCCCAAAACACATCATTGGGAAAATGTGACACTATTCAAAACCAGTACTACGGCAGTACAGTCCCGGTCAAACCGGGATGTATGGCAACCCATATTACTTTATTAGTATTAGAAAATTCTTATGATCTCTTTCTTATGTTCTTAGTGATTTACATTACACAAAAATCATAGTAAAGATAAATGCACGTTTATTCATCACATATATAGGTACAATTATAATAGGTAAATGATTCAATAAAATTAATTACATTTAACAGAACAAAATATAAATAGGTCAAACTCAACTCATGACCTATATAAATCATTAATCACAAACAAATAAAATATGAGCTCCTTAATATAATATCTAAGTAAAAAAGAAATGAAGTAAAACTTATTGTAGATAGTACCTACAAAAAGTAAGACTATATGAATTGTTCTTTTAATTACACATGAAATAAAAATAATAATAATGTTTACAACGTGAGATGCTTAAAATAACACTCCAAAATAATATACAATTATATTTATGGAAAACTTTTTATAAAATGTTATAGATTTAATATTAAATTATTTTTAATAATGTTTGTTTATTTTCAGTCGTAAAGACAAATTTTAGAAGTCTATCAATAATGGACTACCCAAGTATATTAATAAAATATCACAGAGCGCCTCAATAATAAAATATATCAATTTGGTAGAAAACAAAATATTTAGTATAAATGTATAATATATTATGATTAGGTACTATTTAAATAAAATTTAGGTAAATAAAAAGCAATACAAATATATAAATAATAAAAAAAGAAGAGATTAATGTTGATAACTAAAGTCAAATAGTATTGTCTAAAGACAGTTACTTAGGACCTCATGAACAATTCGGCAAGTCTTATAATATTATAATATTTTTTATTCAACATTTAAATTCTTTTTGCTTTCAGCCTTTAAACTTGTCGACATCCGTTGGTAATGAGGCTTCCATGTACCGTTAGGTCGCTGATAGTCCAAATGGTCGTATTCTTGTTCTATATAACAAATAAAATAACATATAAATTAATAATCACATAAAAATCATTATCTGTTCATATTTTATAACAATGTTAATAATAATGTGACATTTATAATTGAACAGAAATTTCAATAGTTAATAAGAAAACATACCTAACATATTTTATTATTTTTGATAAGTTATTAAGATGTTACAATATTCAATCATATTATAATAATTAGTAAGTTATTTGCCCGTATGCATAGTCAATTTATGTTTCACATAAGACATGTTAAACTATGTGTTATGTGACACATACATTCACTATGCACATAGACAATTATCTTTTAGATTCAATAATATCTCACCTGCTGCTGCTAATTTTTTGTCTTCAATCTCATCATACAGATTTTCTGATTTTAAATCATCTAAACTGTGATAGATGTTAGGGTTGTTTAAATCAGCTTCCATATTTTTGAAAGACGAAGCGCTAGTTGATGGCATACCATAACTATCACTGTCGTCCATCAATGATGATGAGCAACCAGCTTTCACCAAATTATTAGGCTTACACAAATTGTTTTTAATTTGACAGTTGTTCAATGTTTGGTGTTCACTAACCATTCCTACTGTTGTGCTAGTCTGTCCAAAAGAATATACAGGATTGTCAAAATGAAATCGATCTGAAATTATATAAAAATCATTAAATGGTAATTTTATTCTGTTATGTGTTACATATTATTATCAATTATAAAATATATTTGCATTTACTATTTATTTATACTTAAAAAGTGTAAACTTAAAAATATAACACTTAATAGTATAAAATATATTTTTAATTTAAGCATGAACCAAGAGTCATGATCACAAATAGTAATACATAAAAGCCACAAAGTAGTCCACAATGGTCATTGGTACCTATTATATTATATTAATTTAATAAAATTACTATTATATTTCATTAAATTTATTATGTTTATTATTTATATTTATATATTATAAGAAAAATATATTTACCTTGATTTAAGGTAAGTGGATCGGCTCCATATTGGACATGTGCATGTATGACATTTTTGAGACCGGCAACACGATTGCGGTAGTATAAGAACAACATAATAAATGCAGCTATTACCAAAATAGCAACAAACATTCCAGCTAAAGCACCTGAAGAGCTCTTTTCAGTATCTAATGTACCAACTCGTCGGTCAGTTAATGGCTCATCACAGTTCTCACCTAGACCATTTGTTATTTTTAAAAGTATCCAATATAATATTACAATAAACAATGCTATTACATTAACTGTAAAGCAATAAGCCATCAAGTTAATTATAGAAACAATAATTTTAGGCACCTATAAAGTTTGTCTTACAATATAAAATTAACAATATTTAAGGGGGTCGAAAACATAGCTCACAACTTCAATCATTACTCCCAATATAATGTTCTGATATTAATTTTGAAAGCAGATTTGAATTTGTCACTAAATTATCTACGTTTTGACAATTTATTTTTTTTACTTAGAAATTCACTAACAAAAAGAGTAAAAATAGATCATATTCATAATTCAAATTTAAATACATTGATATAGAATATGAAAAATGTACGACAGTTAAAGCATAGTAAATTTAGAGGAGAATTCAAATTTGCTTTCAAAATTTAAATCGGAACATTCTACTGTGAGTAATGATTGAAGTCATTAGCATTATTTTTTGAAAAAAAATGTTTTGTAATTTTATAAAATAATATGTTGTGACATGTGAATGAGCGTAGGTAAAAAAACAGTGGTTCATATCCGGTCACTATGATGCCCCTATATAAAGTTATTGGTACTATGAATTAAACACACTGATGTTCATTTACGTTTAACACATTCACAAGACCCATGTAACTTGAAATATAAAATGCCTAGTTTTTACTCCTTAGAATGGATTAGGCTCCAGCCCCCTTAATTTTTTTTTATTTATTTGGTAGTAATATTTGTTTCAAATTGAATAACAATTTTATTTTACTTATTGATAATATCATATTATTTTTATATCACAATTATTCTACAAATCTACCCATAATTAAAAGTTAAAACATCAAGAATTTAGAACAGATACCAACATGCATAGCTGTAGGGTGATAAAATATATTGGAAGAGCTCTGAAGCTCCACTATAAATTTTCATTATGCCATATTTCGTGAGGGGCTCTGCCTCCTACAACCACCTTCCAACGATTTGTTACTGATATTATTTTTTCAAAAAAAAATTGTGCATATATACCTTAAATATTTTCAAATTCCTATAATAACAACTTATGAAGGAACCTTGTTACATAATATTTTCTGACATTTTGAGGTGAAAACATTTTGATCAACATTTAGAGATGAAAAAACTAAATAAATGACTAAAATAGCTCAATAACCATTAAAAAATGTTGTAAAAATAACAAGTATATTTGATTATTTGTTTTTGAGTTAGGTACAAAAAAAAAAAAAAAACAATGATTTTGTCAAAGTGAAAGGCGTCTTGTGTAAAAGTTATTGTTGTTCCTCAATTTTTTTCATAATTCTTAAGATACCTGGGGGTCAGTTCTGGGAATTTAAAATTTTGACCCCTCAATAGTACCAGCTTTATGTCTAATTTGCTATGAGAAACCAACCTCAAGTATTTAAAGCATTTTGTCTAATATTTTTTGCGTGTACAGACACTCGTCATTAGTTCAATATAATAATATGCTCAATTAACCTGAAAGAAATGAACTAAAATAACTCTGGAAAGGCTAAGCACCACTCCCCTAGATATGCTTATGGGTAGGTATATGTTTTATTAGGATGGTGTACATATTTATTGATGAGTCAGGCTTCATATTTATTTTTTAGTAGGTATTATAAAAAAACCTATGAATTATTTAATTAAGTAGAGAAATAGATTGGAAAGTAACAATATGAAATTAAAATGGGCAAATATATCATGACAATAACTGTGTTATGTCCATAATAACTGATACAATTTAAGCATATTGAATGATTTGATAGTATAATATATTATACCTAACCTACAAAAATCCATTTAAAGTAAATCATAAAATAAAATGTATAGATAAGTACAATACACAATAAATATCTTTAAAATTTAGATATGAATAGTGATGTATTTACTATAGGTAGGTAGATTGTAGGTACCTGTATAACCGTGTCTGCATACACAACCGTCGACTGCATGGCAGATAAATTTTTCACTAGGACAGTCGCACGTAGCCATGCAGTGATCGCCATAATATTGATCAGGACAAACTATAAAATCGTAGACAATTTGTCAGTTTTTAAATGCTTAACGACAGTTGAGTAGACTTATTAAAGAGCCCAGCGCTTCTTCAACTATTGACTTAAAATTGAAACAGTATTCAATAGTATACTGACCTTCGGAACACGTTGGGCCTGTGAATCCTGGTTTACAGTGGCAAACTCCATCAATGGCACGGCAAGAACCACCGTTTTGACATTTACATGAGAGCCCACAATTGATACCGTATTTGCCAATCGGACATTTTTTCTTGCAGTTGGAACCAGTATAGCCCGGATAACAGTGGCAAGCACCTGGAGATACAGAAGGAAAAAAATATGTGCAATTTACTTTAACGTAACCCTTAAATCAGCGATAGAAGTCATCCTTACCGGTGACGTGATGGCAATCTCCGTATTCGCAGTCACACTTCTTCAGACATCCCTGTCCGTATGAATTGGATGGACAAGTGTGCTGGCATATCGGTCCGATGTAACCGGGTCGGCATTCAAACTTTCCGGTCACGTGGTCGCACGACAAGTTATCTGTGGAAACGGTAAGTGAAACTTTAGTAAAACTGTAGAAACTAGAAGTACAAATTAAGCAATACTAAACAGGGTATAGTGGTGATTTTAAATTAATTGTCTTCATGATTCTTCTACTATTTATAATCAATGGTAATACTAAATGCAAATATACACTTTATATTTAACGTACGATGTAAGTAAAATAAATCAATTAAGAAATGTAATATGTTTCCACCAGTTTTAACTCTAATATAAACTATACTTTTTAGTTGATAATCGTGCTGGAAAGTACCTTTATCATGCCTCCCCCGGCTAGCTCGGAGGGCTAGTTCCTTATAATACGTTTATTGTTCAACTGTGCTATGCTATTGTTCTATGGCTAAAGGCTACCTATATATTATTCTACACAAAACGTTAAGGCCCCTGCAAACCCTATTATTGTTAGAACGACCTTAGCAATGACAAAAATTAAAGTACTTCTATTGGTTCGATTTAAAAAATGTAAAGACGTTTTAATTGGTCAACAAGTCTACTTTGCATCGGTCGGAGCATATTTTTTATATTTTAGATATTTTTGAATATATTCAATACTAAAAAGGTGGGCAAGTGGGTGTCGCTCTGCTGTACAGTAGGTTACAAGTGGGTCATTGTATAATGGATGGTATTAAATTTGAATTCAATGATATAATATCATTGTACAGTGAAACCTGTATATAACGGACAGTCACGGGACCAAAATAATTGTCCGGTATAGACAGGTGTCCGTTGTGGACAGGTTTCAATGTTTTTAATCTTTATTAATATTATACGTACATACATATTATATGCATTATACACATACATAATAAATTTAATTTTAATTATTTATTACAATTACAATTATTATTTTTATATTACACACATACAATGACACATTATATTTGTATAAATTTATTAATTATTTCTTAAAAAATGATTCTATTGATGTTTGTTTTTTGAACTTCGATTTCATCATTTCCAACTCGTGATGGATAATTAATTCGCTCACATATGAAAATCCTATGTATTTTTGTCCGTTATGAAATTGTTGTATTAAATATTAGTGTCCGTGTCCCTAATAGAAGGAGTCCGTTATAGACAGGTCGAAATACATTAGAATGCCTATCTTTTTGCCGGGACCTGGTCATTTTGTCCGTTAAGAGAGGTGTCCGTTATATACAGGTGTCCGTTAAGTCAGGTTTCACTGTATAAGAAAAACGATTCTGAGCGGAGACGGTATGTCCTTCTAGGTATAAGACATATTATATACATATCTATGGTATTAAAAAAAATTGACCTATAATGAATTCCAAATTAATCATATCACAATATCCATTAGGTACGCGTTATACACCAACAACAAACCCTGATACTATCATAGATATATAGTAGATTACTTTAGAAATTTCAAGTACCCACGAATAATATTATACAATCACAACAAAATAACTAAAATCGTAATTCTTGGTTTAAATATGAAATTTTGTCTAAATTTGAAATTAAAATGTCTGTACAAAATAAGTGTGTTTATATATTTTTTAGATTTTTTGGTTACAGTATGAATTATTTAAGAGAATCTTTGTTTTAAATTTTCAACTCTTAGTTATAAAAACTGAACATTTTATAATTTTTTAATTCCAACGATTGATAATTTTCGAGATTTTGATAAATTTTGTCAAAATTCCAACTTTAAATGCTTATAAAAAAAAAATCGTGCCTATGTATTTTTAAAATTTTTCAACTGATATTGTAACAATATATAAGAAAGCTTGTATTAAATTTTCAGACTTTTTGGCCCACCAAATAAAATTTTATTGACAATTATAAAAAAAAAAAACTAAAAAAATTGAAAACTGAAAATGTCCGTAAACAGCTCAAAAAGAGTCAAAATATTTTCAAAATTGTATGGTGTATAGGAAATGCTAATATAAACATTCAGTGAAATTTTCATGTATCTACAATAATTCGTTTTTGAATTACAACAAAATAAGGAAATCGCTACATGAGAAATCGAGTGAAAATCCAATGTTGTAAAAATTTGAATTTAAAACGCTCATAAAAATTTAATTTGACTTTCCGGTAGAGATTTTTTTATTGATAAAGGTAGATAATCTTATAAGGAATCTTGTGTTTCATTTTCAAATCTTAGATTTAAAAAGAAAAATTTTTACGAATTCTTAACTCAAAATAATTTGCTAATTTTCGTGATTTTTCCATATTTTGTCAATTTTTGAACTTTAAATGCTTATAAAAAAAAATTGTGACTAAGGATTTTTAATATTTTTCATCTGCCTTTGAAGCAATATATTAGGAGCCTTCTATTAAATTTTCAAGCTTTCGCAACCAACAAATAAAATTTTATTGATATTTTTAGAAAAAAAACTAAAAAAAAATGGAAAATGAAAATGTCCCTAAACAGTTCAAAATAAATCAAAATATTTTGAAAATGTTATCGTGTATAGAAAATGCAAATATAAACAACCAGTGAAAATTTCATGTATATACGTTCATTTGTTTCAGAGTTACACCAAAAACCAAAATCGATTTTTTGGAAAACCAATTTTGCGTAAAAATTCCCGTTTTTCCTTAATTTTTATGTTGTTTTTCCCGGCGCTTGTGAAAACTACTGGGAAATTTATACTTTTGACCCCCCAAAGTACCAACTAGATTCACTTTCCTATCAGAAAAGCTACTGATGAAGAAAATCCAAGCACTTTTACTGTCCTAAAACGTGATGACAGACACAAAAATAAAAAAATAAAAAAAATAAAAAAAAAAATAAAAAAAAAAATAAAAAAACACACATCATTGTAAAATCAATACATTCATCGTTTCACTCAGAATCTAAAATGCTTAGATTTTCTTCAACAATATCTTTTTTACGCAAAAACTGTTTTCGAGAAAATTGATTTTGGTTTTTGGTGCAACTCTTAAAATGACCGTAGATACATGAAATTTTGACTGAATGTTTATATTAGAATTTTCTATACACTATAACATTTTCTTAATATTTTGAGCTTTTTACGGACATTTTCATTTTCCATTTTTTTTAGTTTTTTTTTCTATAAATATCAATACAATTTTATTTGTTAGTTAAAAAAGCTCTAAAATGTAATAGAAGGCTCCTAGTATATTATTTCAAAGGCAGATGAAAAAAATTAAAAATCCATTGTCACAAGGTTCCACTTAAATAGGTTATAATATGTATATAAGTTACTTTATTCACAATAATATTATCAAATATACTTAGTAATATCATAGGCTGACTGACTGTTTTCACTCAGAATCGTTTTTCTTATACAATGATATTATATCATTGAGTTCAAATTTAACACCATCCATTACAGTGACCCACTTGTAACCTACTGTACAGAAGAGCGACATACACTTGCCCACCTTTTAGATTCTGAGTGAAACGATGAATGTATTGATTTTACAATGATGTGTGTTTTTTTTTTATTTTTTTTTTATTTTTTTTTTTATTTTTTTTTTTATTTTTGTGTCTGTCATCACGTTTTAGGACAGTAAAAGTGCTTGGATTTTCTTCATCAGTAGCTTTTCTGATAGGAAAGTGAATCTAGTTGGTACTTTGGGGGGTCAAAAGTATAAATTTCCCAGTAGTTTTCACAAGCGCCGGGAAAAACAACATAAAAATTAAGGAAAAACGGGAATTTTTACGCAAAATTGGTTTTCCAAAAAATCGATTTTGGTTTTTGGTGTAACTCTAAAACAAATGAACGTATATACATGAAATTTTCACTGGTTGTTTATATTTGCATTTTCTATACACGATAACATTTTCAAAATATTTTGATTTATTTTGAACTGTTTAGGGACATTTTCATTTTTCATTTTTTTTTAGTTTTTTTTCTAGAAATATCAATAAAATTTTATTTGTTGGTTGCGAAAGCTTGAAAATTTAATAGAAGGCTCCTAATATGTTGTTTCAAAGGCAGATGAAAAATATTAAAAATCCTTAGTCACAATTTTTTTTATAAGCACTTAAAGTTCAAAAATTGACAAAATATGGAAAAATCACGAAAATTAGCAAATTATTTTGAGTTAAGAATTCGTAAAAATTTTGTCTAAATTTGAAATTAAAATGTCTGTACAAAATAAGTGTGTTTATATATTTTTTAGATTTTTTGGTTACAGTATGAATTATTTAAGAGAATCTTTGTTTTAAATTTTCAACTCTTAGTTATAAAAACTGAACATTTTATAATTTTTTAATTCCAACGATTGATAATTTTCGAGATTTTGATAAATTTTGTCAAAATTCCAACTTTAAATGCTTATAAAAAAAAATCGTGCCTATGTATTTTTAAAATTTTTCAACTGATATTGTAACAATATATAAGAAAGCTTGTATTAAATTTTCAGACTTTTTGGCCCACCAAATAAAATTTTATTGACAATTATAAAAAAAAAAAACTAAAAAAATTGAAAACTGAAAATGTCCGTAAACAGCTCAAAAAGAGTCAAAATATTTTCAAAATTGTATGGTGTATAGGAAATGCTAATATAAACATTCAGTGAAATTTTCATGTATCTACAATAATTCGTTTTTGAATTACAACAAAATAAGGAAATCGCTACATGAGAAATCGAGTGAAAATCCAATGTTGTAAAAATTTGAATTTAAAACGCTCATAAAAATTTAATTTGACTTTCCGGTAGAGATTTTTTTATTGATAAAGGTAGATAATCTTATAAGGAATCTTGTGTTTCATTTTCAAATCTTAGATTTAAAAAGAAAAATTTTTACGAATTCTTAACTCAAAATAATTTGCTAATTTTCGTGATTTTTCCATATTTTGTCAATTTTTGAACTTTAAATGCTTATAAAATAAAATTGTGACTAAGGATTTTTAATATTTTTCATCTGCCTTTGAAACAACATATTAGGAGCCTTCTATTAAATTTTCAAGCTTTCGCAACCAACAAATAAAATTTTATTGATATTTTTAGAAAAAAAACTAAAAAAAAATGGAAAATGAAAATGTCCCTAAACAGTTCAAAATAAATCAAAATATTTTGAAAATGTTATCGTGTATAGAAAATGCAAATATTAACAACCAGTGAAAATTTCATGTATATACGTTCATTTGTTTTAGAGTTACACCAATAACCAAAATCGATTTTTTGGAAAACCAATTTTGCGTAAAAATTCCCGTTTTTCCTTAATTTTTATGTTGTTTTTCCCGGCGCTTGTGAAAACTACTGGGAAATGTTTACTTTTGACCCCCCAAAGTACCAACTAGATTCACTTTTCTATCAGAAAAGGTACTATTGAAGAAAATCGAAGCACTTTTACTGTCCTAAAACGTGATGACAGACACAAAAATATAAAAATATAAATAAAAATAAAAATAAAAATATAAAAACATACATCATTGTAAAACCAATACATTCATCGCTCCGCTCAGAATCTAAAATGTATAACTTTATAAAATTTAAAATATTTATTCTCGTCAAGAATTTGCTAAAATTGAAAAAGTGCTCCGACCGATGCAAAGTAAACTTGTTTACCAACACAATCATTGAAACATCTTTACATTTTTAGAAGTACTAACCTAACCTAACTAGAAGTAACTACATTTTTGTCAGTACGAAGGCTATTTCACGTCCATAAATTGGTTTTGGATATTTTGATCTAGACATTGAATGACTAGTGCATGTGCGTGGGTGCGACCATAAACCAGATAAGAAATAACAATGTATTATAAATTGATGCGGGTCGGGGGGTTGGTAGAGGAGTATACACACACTAATGATAATTTACTACACATACAAAGACGATCAGTAATCGCAGGAACGAAATAAAAATGACACATTTGCAGGGGCCTTAAAAAAGCACCGTATCTCGTATTCGCAAGTGCTTATCAATTTGTACCGTGAATACAAAATTATCGCAATTAGAATGTCAAAAAAAAAAAAATAATAATAATAAAGTGCATTTATATGAAAAAGCTGCAAATTAAGTGTTAAGTGTATTTGAATAGAGATTAAATTAAATACATTCGTACATTATTAATATATAAGTCATTTAAAAAAAAAGCCATTTAATTTTAAACCCGAACCCTGTGTTATATTATCTAGGTAGTATAGATAGAGATTAATTAGAAACAGAGAAAACGACATACCATCGGAATGTCTTTCCGGACACTCCTCTTTGCACCCGAAACCATACTTGCTCGGCTTGCACGGTAGATCACACTTAAGCCCTTCCCAGCCACGAGTGCAAGTACACTTGGCCGTCTTCTGGTCGCACGAACTGTCGTTGTGGCAATCGCACTCGTTCTGACAATCCTCACCGTAAGTGCCGCGCGGGCAGAGCGTCTCGCATTGTACACCTGAAAACGCGAAAACAATTAGTTCAACAATAAGCCTGAACTCGTACAATAGACGCGCAGACTGCAGTTATATAATATAACAGGGGCTGCCGAGAATTGTGAAGTACGTATATCGACACGGCCGCGAAAATAATATGTTGTTAGTTGTTATGCATTTCAGCTGTATAGCGTATATAATGCAATAAGTTTACCGTTCCAGCCTTCGATGCATTTGCATTCACCAGTCACCGGGTTGCACGACGCCGTGTTTTCCCAGTTGCACTCGCAAGTCTGCTTACAGTCTCTGCCATAAGTCTCGGGCGGACAAACCGAGTTGCAGTTATCACCAGTAAAACCCGGTTGGCAAGTGCAGGTCCCTGAAACAATATACGATCGATTAAATACAACAGACAACTATATTATATTGTAATTTATTATTACTAGGCTATAGGCACCGTGGACTTAAAGAGCACCGCGGTTATATATGTTCAATATACATAACTAATCAACTATTATATCCTTAAAAGGTAGAGGATATTTGCACCCTTCTTCTATAATCATATAAATATACTAACCCATATAATATAAGGCTATAACACAATATTATTTAAAATCCACTACAAATCTTTCACTCATAAACTCCTCAAATTAAAAAAAAAAAACAATCTACAAACCAAGATAAAATACTATTCCGAAAATATTTTAATAAATAAGTCAGGTGTTTATTGAGAACCCAAATCATATAAAATCTTCCTGTTAAGAAAAAATAAATATATTTAAAAACTCAATTGATCTCCTATATTCGTATATCCGAATTACGCTCAGATAAGCCTGCCTATATACCTACATCAAATAAGTATTTTTCAAGAGTTATGTGAAAATATACCATCATCATTATATTTTTTATCAATACATAAGAATCCGGAACAGTATAATTACTATTTATTTCGGTCTAGCAGTTCTTTGTGCTTCTTATAGTTTTCAATACACATATTTAATTTTTATATTATAATTTAGGTATATTATATTATTATGTTTACGAGTTCACTACGTATTATTTCTATTCATGATTAAATAGAAAAATTTTGATTAATGCATGGCTAACGGCCGTCCACAAAATATAAAGAATATCTATTGACTATTATTATTATCGCATTATAAAATAATTAATAAAGCTGTTAAGAATCATCGAATGTCAAAATCCTTTCAACAAAAATATTTATCTTCTTTTAATATTACCTATCGAATTTCGAGTATACGTGGAGATTAAAGGTAAAAAATATGCCGGGCATCGTTATAGCGCATCGTCGTTTACTTGCGCCAAAATATATCATACATCGTTTGCGCATCAACATATCGAACAATTAAATGGTATACACATTTTTGAAAAGATGTAGTTGTACATCAGTGCATCACATATTAAAATATCATTCAATGCCAAATTCAGCTCGAACTTAACAATTGTAAATAAATTGGCTTTATATACATTATACATATACACATAGGCGCCAGGTTTTATAAATGTCAATGGGGGCCTAACTTAATACTTTTTAACCTTAACTTTTGCCCTTATTATATTCATGAGCCCCGATTAATCTTTTCAATGGGGGCTGCGGCCCCCGAGCCTCTATGCAATCGGCGTCTATGCGTACACATGTTGAGAAAAAATGTATGGAATAGTTGTGGTTGTGAGCCACCAGCCACTCCAGTTGTTTAATCTGATCGTAAAAAACATTTATATTTCTAAACAGAAACTATGACTACTTACTTAATATTTTAAAATTGAATAAAATTATGGCGTACAATTTTAAGCTGAATGTTAGTAAATCAACTTGCACTTTTGGGTAATCCTAATCTCTGCCAGTCCTATTATTCGGGATATTCGAATTGCACTTTTTACCTAAATTAGATGGTCAAATTGCACTAGAGTTAAAAAAAAGTTAACGTGCCAACATGGTCGAACTGAACTTGGGTTCAAAAAAGGGCTTTCAACAAAAATTAATATTTTTTTGTGCTTTTTAATTGTACATGTATGCCGTATGGCGTATGTTGTATGTATATTATATTATATATTTTACACAATATTAGGTACAAATAAAACTGTAGATACGTATAAAAACACGTTTAAAATAATTTGTGAATAGTGCAATGTTTAATATTTACGTAAAATTAATAAATTATTTATTAAAACATATTAGTTGAACCCGAGCGCAGTTTGACCATTACCTTTTTTAAATCAAGTGCAATTTGACTGAAATAATTGCAATTCGATCTCACCCCAGATTCCTATTGTTAAATATATTGACGCGCAAATTATATACTATGATTATTTTACGTAAAGTAAACGGAAGATGCGCAAACGGTATCATAAACCGAAAATCGAAAGATATAATATCTTACAAAAAAAGGTCCAAATGAAAAATAGTAACGCGCAAACGTTTTATGGCCATAAAATATTTTCGTACGAGTGTACAACTCATTATCTACGTATACCTACATATTACATATAGGTGTATAAATAATATATACAGTAAATATACAGTACCTACTACCTATATTATATTACTTGAAATACTGATATTTTTTTACGTTATTGATATTTTATTGTATTTAATTAAAAATACCATTGACATCATAATTTGACGAACACTCAACAAAATAAATAAGTTATTTATTTATTATAAAAATTCTGAGCTTAAACATTTAAATGTTCTGTGGCTACTGGCTGATATAATAATTTACTATCTATATAAAAAACAAACTTTTAATTATTTTTACATTCATACATCTAGCGTGAGAACTTGCATAATGGAAGTATAGCTGCACAAATTCGTCGTAATAGTTGAACAACTCAATTAATAGACATTATATTTATCAACGGGATGTTTATTATTATACTCACTAGGTCGAAATATTCGGGGTCATATACATTTTCAGTTGTACTGCTGTAATATTATACAGATACGATATATGCATGTATAATATCTGTTAAAGTAAATATAAACTACTTTTATTATTTTATTTTCGTACTTTTCTATAGAAATTTAAATTTACAAAAAAAAAATAGGATCAATGTTTAGTGGTCTCTTTGATCGATGACTAATCAACAAACTTGGTATACAAAGGTACTACACTTTTGGAGCTTTTTATACTGACCTTAAGACAAAACGAGGTTTTCAAATAACTAATAAGCCATTGAAAACCAATAATTACTATAAGAATTTTTTTTGATAAACCAATAATATTGATAAAATCTGTATGACATATAGTCATATAATAATATTCTCGATTTAACATGTGATAGTATAATGAAGTGTGTCATTGCATAAGGCCAACCCGTAACACACACTCGAAAATATAATGATGACTTGTAGATTATTATTTTTTTAGTGGGTGCTAAAAATATCAGACTCGAGACATTATTATTTTTCGTAAAACCACTTCAAATTTAAATTCATAAATTCATACATATACCTATCTAACACGTGATAAGAACACAGTTATTACGTGTGTTATCAGTACCTATAAGAAATAGAAAAATATGTTTGATCCTAATGAAAATAATTTTATTAATATTTTAATATGAGTAATAATACTACCTATATGATCAAAATTTTTAATTTGATAAAAAACGAAAAATATATATCATGCGCTATTATAACTAGGTATTCTAGTATTTAGTATTTACCGTCGATGGGACTACACGCTGCATCGTTTTTACATTGACATTCGTTTTTACAATTTTCACCGTAAAATGATTTTTCACACGGCAAATCACATTGCTGTCCTCTCCACCCGGGAGGACATAAACACATACCAGATTCAGGAGAACACTTGGCTCCATTGTTGCATTGGCACTGGTTGTTACAGTTCTCGCCGTATGTACCTTCAGGACAGGTTACGTTACATGATAATCCACGATAACCTGGAAATAACAATTAGAATATTATCTAACTTAAATGAGAACATAATATTATGTACGTACGTCAAACAGTTCATCATTTAAACGAAAGCATTGTAAAATTAATATTAAGTACTCAATTTTATTTTTATTTATTCAATTTACATTACAAAACTAATTGAAAAAGACGAAGTATAAAAACGTAATTTATCAAATTGTAAACTGTAGTCTAAATATCATCAGATTAAAAAACATAATATTATATTATTATGCGTGCACTAGGGGCCGTACTGTTGACTTAATAATAACATACCAGGACCACATATGCATGTGCCGTTATTAGCCAAACATTGTGCGTTGTTGTGACAATCGCATTTTCTTCGACACTTTTCGCCATAAGTATACAAGGGACATGTTCTAGAGCACGTCGGACCATCCCAACCAGCTACGCACTCACAGGTTCCTTTCCACGGATGACACCTAAAATCAGCGTTATAATATTTTTATCAACCCGAAAACAGTTTATTTTTTTCTGATAGAAAAAAAACGTGGTATTTGAAATGCAAGAAAAATAGAACCGTTAGACACTATTCAAGACTATTTACAATAGTATTTTAAGTTTCAATAGACGGGGATAATAAGTTATGATACACTCAAAATATGTAAAACTTTTACTTACGAATTGGTATTTCCATCAACGCATTGACATACTTTGTCACATCTTTCTCCATAAAGATTATCTGGACATATTCGTTTGGAACATTTATCACCTTTCCATCCTTTTTCACATATGCATTTTCCATTTTTTGGTTCACAATAGGAGTTTTCTGGACAAGTACAATTGTTCAAACAATTTGGACCATACATTCCTTCCGGACAGATATCTTTGCACTAAACCAAAACGTAAAAAATTATTGTTTGCAATTTGACTCTAGAAAAATTTCCGTTACTTTTTCTCCATAATATCCAGGCATACATTGACATTGTCCAGTAATATGATGGCAATAACCTTCATTGAAACAATCACATGACTTACTGCAGTTAACTCCCCATTTACCAGGCTCACATTTTTCTCCACACACCATTCCCTAAAAATGAACTTGTATTATTGAAATGTAGGTAATATAACTACCTAGGAAAAAAATGTCATCTCTTCTAGGGGTATTTTAAGCTTTAAACGTTTAAACGGTATTCAATATAAATATCTCATACAGATTCAACTAACTTTTATCGAACGATTTTATGTATCAATTTTATGTAATAAACATTTTCTGAATAAAAATGAACTACACTTATTTTTTACTAGGTATTAAATTAAGATTGTTTTTTTAAATAGTTTTATTCATATTAAATAAAATAAATTCAGATTTGATAGTACGCTTACTTAGTTATTAAGGTATATAAAAAAAACAAATCAATTTATAAGTGTTTAATTAGTTTTATATATTTTCTTTTCAACTGTTTTCTTTAGTAATCTTATAATAAACTTTATGTGGCGTGCTATAAATTAGGTATAAAAAATTATCAATGTTATTTAACCATTTGACATGGTGAAATAAACATGGATTTTATTCCGGTCTGATTACATTTAACAATCTAAAAGATAATATTCAATAAACCTTAACGGCAAATAAAAGAACCATATTTAAATGGGAAAATCGGATATTTAATTGTTATCAAGGGTATTTGATAAAAGAGATATTTTAGAATGCGATTTATAAAATAAATGTTTAAATGTTACATACCGTCCATCCAGAGGAACACAAACAATGACCAGTTTGTGGATCACAACTACCTGCATTCTGACATTTGCATTCGCTTTGGCACTCATCTCCGTGACGACCTGATGGACATCTCTGATCACACCTATATTTGGAATTTGTAAACATTTTAAAACATAGAATATCGGTAATATAGCTGTGTTCACCTATTCTAACACCAAAAAATAAATAAATTGGTATACTGGAAATGGTTACTTACAGTGGACCTCTAAATCCCGGGGGGCAGTCACACTTTCCGGTGACTGGATCACAAATAGCACCGTTTTTACAAGGACATTCTTCAACACAGTTGATGCCAAAGTTATGGGGCGAACATTTCTCTGAACAGTCTACTCCCGTCCAACCTGCTAAGCATTTGCACTGACCGTCATATGGATCACACGGTGATCCATTTTCACACTGACATTTTTCTGTGCAGAACTCGCCAAATTTTCCAGATGGACATGCTATACATGGATACATTATACTTAGACTCTTATTATCGTATTTTAAATATTATTCATTATTACTTTTATTGCAATAAGGTCCTCCATAGTTGTCATCGCATTTACAAATATTTGGAAAAATGCAAGTACCATGTTCACAGTTGTTCTGACAAACTGGAATGCAATTTGTTTTATTTGGTGATATAACAAATCCTTCACAGCATTCTTCAATAGGCTTTTTTTTTTCTAAGACCTGCAAATGTGATATATAATATATTATACCATTGTTCAAACTTTTGTCTAAAAATAATAATGGTTAACCGAACACGGAATGGTAAATGGAATGACACTGAGCGAAATAGGCACTAGGTACCTACATCAATTTATGTTAAAGGATTGAATTAAAGCACAAATTAATAACTAAATAAAAGATTTTAAATGATTTTTAAAATGTTATGCTGTCACAACTATAATGTATTTTATTACATTAGTAAACATATTATATACAAAATAATGATTTGTATTTCATTACAATTTATTATTCGAGTACATAAAAAAAATATTATAATGATGGAGTTTACAGTCATATAAATTAAGTGTTTTATTTTTAAATTTACCTGCTGCGAAACAATTGATTTCATTACAATTCGGTATCGGGAACATTTTAGTTTGAAGTCTGTAAAACAAAAATAGGACTCTCGTACTTGGTATGGTTTCATTTCAGTCACATTAACCGTCACATTATACCTAAACAAAAAGTTTGAAAAATTAATGAAAGTTTTACGTCAACAAATGATTAATATTAGGGTTTAAAAAATTGAATTTATATATTAATTTATGCCTACCTATGTATAAGTACCTAATTATATAATGAAGACTTAAGTATATAAAAAAAAATGTAATACTATAAAAATGTACTGATACACATACGAAAGACGTAACTTTAAAAATACTATGTAAGTACCAGGTAGGTACCTACAAATTCTGTTTCTTGATATATTTTCATCATTATTACAAATGTTATCTAACACCACCGTCCACCATACTATCCACTAACATGCATCTCTCAAGTTAAGCAATTTCTCTTTCTGCACTGTGGGAACTTGTCGCATAGTCACATGGTTTTTTATTTATATTATTATTACGAATTATTATTAACATGAGCATATCTACAGCAATATGAACAATAGTGTATAATTTAATAATTAGACAAAAACATAATATTTTTATTTAAATACAGTATAAGATTATTGGAAAAAAAGTTTATTTTACAACAATATTATTTTTCCCACAATAACGTGTCTATATTGTGCAACCTTGAATAATTATATACTGTTCAAAAACGTTTCATATAAAAATTGATAAGTATAATTAATAATTATTGAACAGATCGACCATGTTTAGAACTGAATAATAATATATATTATTTATCAATATATTTTATTGACATTAATTATACGTATCATGTTTTTGAAGATTAAAATGTTTAACAAAAACATATAAGGGTATCTTATTTGGATATAATATTATATAGTTTAATTATGTTTAAATTTAAATAAATGTTATCACATTTAAACAAAAACAACATTTGATTGGTTTATTCAAACATGCATACAAAAGATTCAATAAATTGCAATTTTAAAATCTCGAAACCAATCCTAAATATAAATAACAAAATTATATGATGTGTAATAATTATTAAATCATAACAGACGCAGACTACAGAGTGGAATCAACTATCACCTCCGAGTAGAATAATAGTGTATTTTTATGGTAAATTTGAATTCTATGCAACGGTAAATCACCACATATAAAAAAATTATTCTGGTCGGAGGTCGGTTAACGTCTGTGATCACAACTATCGGTTATATAAGATAGTTATATACAGTGAAATAAGATATTATTTTAAATTTTTACTTGTTAATAATTGCTTATATGCATAATCAACGATTTAATATTAATATAAGCATTAACTGAAAATTATATTGCAATAATAATTAATGTAATACATGATTAACCTTCAATTAATCTGCAAAGCTATTAATAATGGTTAACTTACAAAATAGTATTGCCATATTATTTACACTTTAAATACCCTTCAAAATTCAAACATAAGGAACTAATTTATTTATTTAAAAGAACATAAGATAATATATAATATAACATTGGTTAAGATTTTCTACATTCAATTTGTATGTCTTATATTATAACTACCTATAGATAAGGTTTTCTGTATTCATCTTTCATGTTTTGGTAGTAACAATTTACATTTTATGATAATAAAACTGAAATATAACAATACATTCTAAAGTCTAATAAATTGTGTGTTTATCCAAAAATAGTCAAATATAAAAATCTATCCAAACTCTAATAAAGTGACAACTAGGTCAATGGTTTCATTCGATAGCAAATGCTAACTGGAACTTTAGTGAGAAGACTTCTAAAATACTCCTAAAATAAAAAGTTACAGAAAAAATTATAACTAGTAAATAAAATAAATTACGTTAGTCTAAAAAGTAAAAGCATTGAATTTCTCACTTTGTACCGATTTTAAAAATAGATAGAAAATATAAAAAAAATTAGTTTTATATTCTACTTAATAGAAGTAATTAATTTAGTCAATGATTAAATTTAGATATTTTTTATGTTAAATAAAAATTAACTTACAGTTCTAATCTGGTACAAACATTAGATCCTTTGAGCTCAATTTCCGATTGAGCTGGATAACACAGGTGGGCAAGTAACAACGCCGCAGCGTATATACCCAAATTATAATAACGTGTCATGATGGATAGTGATCACGTTTGGTGAAAATTGTCAATTTACATGGTGGCGATTGTCCAAATGTTGCGTGTATCTATAGAAAAAAAAATACAAATCATTGTAAAAACTATACATTCACCACTTAAAATATAAAAATAAATAAAGCAATTTAAAATAAATCAATAAATATTCACGTATTCTAAAAATTCAAATTTTACTAAGGTATAAGAATAAGATAAATTATCTATTATTAGGTACGTTTTAAAAAACAAAACACTGAAATTCTGATAACAATTTTTTTAATGAAGGTACAATTTGTGGTATTAAAATGTACCTGCAAATTTTATTATAATACATAATAGGTATTTAATGATCGCAATATATTTTTTATTTAGAATATACAAATATGTATAGACTATAGGTATATATTTTATACGTAATAAAAATAATTTTAAGTTTATAATTATGATAGTGTCCACTAATTATTTTGCATGCATTGGCAATATGTTTAACAAAGGAAAAACACTTTTTCCTTGATGAGTTGACAGTTGTGAACACACCTCTTAAATCTATATTATACAACCATAACTACTAGTGATGATCAAAGTTGGTCTTGGTCTTGTGATCTCGCCAGACTCTTGCTACAAGACCAAGACCAAGATGATATTAGTACTAGCACTATTAGTACTAAGACCAAGATTAGGTTTGTAAGACCAAGACACTACCGACCCTGCAAGACTACGACTAAAACAAGACCAACATTGCAAGACTCTTGCACATTTTTTCCCCTGAAAACACATTAGTGTATCTAGATTGAATTAAATAGTTTATAAAGAAAATAATAAGAAATTATCTTTATGGCTATTACATTTGATCGGTATTCGAGGAAATGGCAAATTATTGAAAAAAAGATTAGAAATAATTCGAATTAATATTACAAAACAATATAGATGTTTCATAATAATTAGTAATTAACAATTACCAAAAAATTATTTTATTTTCTCAAAATTGATATTATATAGACGTCGAAAGTTTCTGTTGGTGTCTAGGATTGGCATCAAGGGAAGGAATCTAGGAAAACTGTCAAAAATTAAAATTTTTACAAGCCATAATTCTTTCTTACTGTAGTCAGTCACACATTTCGATTTATGTGTCGATTCATTCATTGATTCTGCCGGTACAGGTAGTTATAAAATAATTAAATACAACGCAAAAAAAATCGTTTTTATAAATTCGTATTTGAATAATTTTAAAGTAATTGATGGAGATGTTTCAATTGTAAAAATCATAGATATTATATCTAAAATAACTTTTCCCAAGAAAGAGTATGACTACAATAATAAATGTATAATTTATGTATTTTCTTTAAATATTAAGATAAACACAATACGATTTTGAGCATTAAAAATTGTTTTTTATAATACATAAACTGGTTAATCACGATTTTGAGCTAAGACGGTTGTCAGCCTATGATATATTGATACTACTAAGTATATTTGATCATATTATTTGTGAATAAAGTAATTTATATATAACATACCTACGTGGAACCTTGCTTAAAATTATCAATCCTTAGCTATAAAAGTTGAACATTTTATACATTTTTAACTACACAATAATTATTAAATTTTATATTTGGTAAATTTTGACGAAATTCCAACCATAAATGCTTATAAATGCTTATCAATATATTATCTCATATCTACAATTCATTAACAGATGCAAGAAGTGGCAAGAAGGTGCAAGGAACTCAAGGAAGTGCAGAGAGGTGTATTTAATGATTTGTATATAATATATATTCTGATATACCATACAATTTTTTAGTGGAATCTTTTCCAAAATGATGTCACTTAGATTCTTTGTTACTGTAACTCTAAAAATAATATTAATTACTTACACAAAACCAAATAAAAGGAAAAAATGTAAACCTTAACCTAAACCATAACTTTTATTTCTCTACGTGTAGACAACAAATCGTCACTGTAACAAGCCATGCTTTTAGTATTAAATGAAATACAAAAATATTGTATACGGTAAATTGATTTCTAAATATGCGTGTCTCCTATAAGTGTTCGGAACAACGAAAATGGTATATAATAATACTTAGGTATATTTTTTCCATTTATCATTTTTGCACCTTTTTAGACTAAGTCTAGCCAATCTACAAGGTCTTGTTGATCGTATTGTATAATAAATAATAATATGCGTAGTAATAAGGTTAAGTACATTTACTATATAGTCCATAAGACACCACCCTTTTGTTTAACGGAGGAATATAAATATATAATATGACATCGATCGTACACGCGTTGCTGTGTGGGTACCTACCTAGCTATAATTTATAAATAATATACACCATATCCCAGAAAAAACTTAAATCATATGTTTTGAATTATCATTATCGATTATGCGTTTGGCAGGGAAATAAACTAACAAACCAGTACCCAATTCAATAACATATTTACATATCACTACATTTATCAGTTTTTAGACAAAGGAAATCCGTTAAAGATCCAACAAACTATAAAATAATAAACAAATCGTAAAATAACTGTACCGACGCTAAAATGTATGTATCCATGAAAAAATATTGATAAGGCGAATAATTTTGTTAGAAGAAAAATATGTATGTCAAAACAAGTAGACCTTCCCTTCCCCCTTATACTATAATCAATCACATTATATTTTATATGTATAATAAAGTAATAACATTAACAAATCGTCGTCTCAGAATGAAAAGGTTCTAACGTAATTATTGTAATTGTTCAGGGGAACGTTTTTAAGTTAGCCCGTACCTATCATTCACGTATGAATTAGAACCTTTTCATTCTCTGTATCTCATTGAATAATCAACGGATCGATACGATTTCAGGATTGAATTATACAACAAAAAATATTATATAATAATGTGTAAAAAAATTGATTTAGAACTTTTTCATTCTTAGACAACGAAATTATAGATGCCATTTAACTTGCTACACTTACATTTAATTGATGTATCATAATACCTATATTTAAAGTATCTATACAATATGTGTTTTACGTCTTGTATTATAACTTATAAGTTGTAACACTTATATACAGTTATACCTAACTATATTTTGCACAGTTGGACATCTCGCGTAATAAACAGTAAATACGTCATAGGTAAGTTTATCATATTTCCAAATTAAAGTGTAATTATTTTTTCATCATAGGTGTTTAAATATTATAGTTATAATTTGTATAGGTAGTAAGAATAACCGTCATAAACACACAACACACATTAAGCAATTATGTAAGTAGCTAAAATATTCGTTAACGTGTCACCGAATTTGACTGAATAAGGCTCAACTAAACACGGGTTATTAATAAAAAAAAAAAACACTTTAATTGTTTATACCTGCAACATAATACCGCAAACATTGCAAGTCTTGCAATAACACTCCAACATGATTCTCTAGGTGCCTAAAATGGTTACGACTAGTGTCGACCACGTACATATAATATATATAATATATAGTATAGGTGTAGGTATAGGACATAAGTATTAATGCATAATAATTTGAGGTTAGGTTTAACGCCTATCGTTTCTGTGCGACACATCGATCGACGAGGTATCATAATATAATTATAACTGTATTAATACAGCACTTTCTCACACAGATGTGACGTACTTATAATACGTGTACCTATAATACAACGCAATAAGCAATCGATGGATCGGTTGAGCCACACGGTGTGGTAATTGCGCACCGGGTTGATGGTATAAATGTATAATATTATGGGAACATTGCAGCTTTAGCGCACAAGAACTGAAATATTATAGAATCAAACATCGAGACATTATTACAGCAGCCGTCACCATTAAGTAAAAAAAAAAGCTGTTCAATATTTTTCACGCAATTACCGAGATGTCACAGCAGCCACAAAATTAGGTAGGTTAGGTATCCAAGTACCCAATCGTACTATCGTAGCACGTAGCTGTCCACCCTCATGTTTTCCCAATCTGACAAGAGCTTTTTCCTTGTAATTTATTGTCTTAATTAAAACAAAGTAAAGGACCAGTTTAAGAAGTGTATTGTCGTTAGGTATTACGTTGTTTTAGTTTATATTATAAAATGATTTAAAATGTTTGTATTTACCTAACTTGTATATTATATTAAATATGAAAATGTTAATTTTGTAATTTTCAATTTACTCAGGATTATAATAAATTGGTATTCATAATTAAGTTTTAAGATTTAGTTTATTATATTAAGTCCTAACAGACTGTTAAAAAATAAAATATTATTATTACTTAATAGTTATTAGTAATAGGTAGTAATATTTTAGTAAAATGTTTACACATTTTTAAAGGATTTTTATTTATTACATATTGTAGTAATTTCAAAATCGTTATCTTATTATTCAAAGTATACATAGTTTATCATGCATATCTACCGATATCAATGTCATATTAGAAAAGGAATTTACTATTGTTCGGTGTTAATAAAGTGGTCTTTCATAAAACCACTGAACACTCACTCTTTGTTCTTTGTCGACTCAAAAAAATCTGAAGTCACTAGAAATATAAGTTTTGGAATTCTTAAATATACTTTAAGACCATTTTTTCAATTTTTTTTATTTATTATACTTTGACCAATTTTAAAAATTATAAATGTTGATAGATTAATAATAAAAAATTTCGAATCACTATTATAGCCGTCACCATATCTTACAAATTATCATTGTCATTATCCACGAGGTATAAATAACTCAATAACTACTTGTTTGAGTTTTGATATTGATAAGTAGTAGGCAAGTCCATAATTTTAGAAAAATTAAAACACCACAAAATACCATTTAAGAAGTACAAAAAAATTTCAAAAATGGTAAAATATGGGCTTTGAGTATATTATCTAAAAAATCCAAAAATGAGATTTTTTATAATAACATTTTTTAATAAGAAAAGGGGTCAGCATGCTTGATGAATCACCCTGTATGTATAAAAATAAAATGTGAAGAACCTCATAAACCCAGAAGAATTTCACTGCCAAAAATACTGCCACACTCGTATACAGCCTAATTTTGTTATTCAGCACGTTGTGGTGCCTCACACCCATCCACAGATCGTACCAAACCACATTACTATATCCAGCCAGATGTGCTCTGTACTCTTTCCTTTCATGAGCGAAGTAAGAGAACTGACCATGTGTGCTAGTTGCTAGTGTGCTGTAGCACGGGCGGTAGTTTAATACTCTCATAATTTTAACTTTTTAATGCCAACGACTTATAACCCCAAGTTTATGTACGTACGTAATTATAATCTGGTTCAAAAATAGTTAACTGATCAACCAATTCATAATCAAGTGTCATTAATGGGGTGGGTTCTTTCAGTGGCGTATCCAAAGGGTAGACTATAGGGGCCAATTACAATTATAATTATTATATCACTATATATTCACTGATCCACCCAAAATAATTTTTAATCTAAAATTGTATTAATAGTATTATTGTTATAATTTAATATTTTTGTTCCTTACGTACCAACTACGGAGTCTATATCCATCTCATAATCAATAATAATGAAAAAAAAATGCAATTTAAAATAATTACAATACCAATGATAAAAAATTAAATAAGAATATGTTCTTTAAAAACTTAAATTTAAGTACTTATGAGTTATACAGTCAACTTTTAAAACTAAGCAGAAAACCAAATGACTTATTTTCTTTATTCCTCTACAATAAAAGACAAAAGTCCCTTGAACAATGAAATACGTTTTGAGAACAAAACTGCAGTTTCAATAGGGAGTATTAGAACCCGCACGACTTCACTAGGGTTAACTCATCAACGGCTAAATTATATAATTTAGGTAGGTATATAAGCTATATATGTATAAAGTCCCTATAATATTTACGTGTGGGCTAATGGGCCGTGTGGGGTGAAAGGACTTTCTCGTATAGCACGCGCCTATAAGCGCGGTTATTCTTATGACGATGGACTGTTTTGAATGTTGCGGTCCGCTACGGTGTATATAGTATATATTATATTATAATATATTTATATATTATGGTACAAGTTGTTTCGTTTCCGCGGGCCACTCGAAGGTTATTACACTCGTCAGTGATACTGAAGTATAGTAAGTGTTGTACATGATATTAAAATAATATATTACCATACGTCCATACAGACACATAGTTCACTGTAACGCGAGCGTTTACTGTAGTATTTGGTGTGTAAAGCCGCGTCCACACTAGAGCACGCACAGACCGAGCATGTGTGCTCACGACGCACAACGAACGCGAGCCGACTAGATCGGCTCGCGTTCGCCGTGCGTCAAAATCGCTCTTGCGTGCTCTAGTACACATGCTCGGTCTGTGCGTGCTCTAGTGTGGACGCGGCTTTATATATAATATTATGTTGCAGATCTCTTAATTCCACAAGTAAGAATAAATCGCCGACGGTTTTCGAAAAAAATCCAATCATATATCATATATGAAGGTATCGAGTACCATAAAATATTAACCCATTACTCATTAGTTATCTAAAAACTCAAAGTGTTGTATATTATGTGTAGTCACTAGGCACTGTTTGTCGAAGACAAATGACATATATTATAATATTTCCGGTATAGTTATAAATTATAATATAATATAGTTCTCAATCTATTATCAAAGTACCTAGTAAATAGTAGGTATTAATGCATGTATCACGTATTCACGTCATCGTGATATCATACACTGCAGTTTACTGATGTAGGTACGCACGTCGCACAATCATTGATGTGATGACGTATTTTTAACTATATTTACGGTATAAATTAGAAATATTAACGGTAAAATGGTTTCTGGTAGATGTCAGATGTGTATAAATTGGTTTGAAATGTAAAATATATCTTCCGTAACATAATATAATATATAATAATTGTTGATTACTTATAAAATACCAATATAGTCTAAATGAAAACGGAATTTAAAGAAATCGTCAAATAAAAATAAAAATAAAAATAAAAATAATGATTTATTATCAAAAACGAGTACTTACACAATGAAGATACAAACATAGTGTTTATATCGTATAATTAACACAAGGTACCTTAGTATTTTATAATATAATTAGTATTTAGTGTAGGACACAACTATAGTTTAATTTATTTCATCAACAGTAATTTATTTTTTATATCACTGTACTCTTCTGTCAACATTAAAATACTGAAATAAAATAATGACGAACAAAGCATATTTGGTGAGAAAAGTTAATGCGTCATATTTTTGACATTCCAGTTTTATAAAAAATTTGATAAAAGTATTTGCTTCTAGAATCATTTATGTTGAAAATATGTAAATAATTACAAAAATAAACACAAGAGACTAAAACGCTGATCATTTTTTTCTTATTTTGTTTACTAAAGAACAATATGAATAGACTAGTCTGTATAATATTCTAAACATAGTTAAAACTATTGTTTGACGACATATAATATATTATGTATATATATACTGCTGTAAAGTGTACATAATAAGATAATTTAATATTTGTATTTCATTATAATGTATTATAATATAAATTTCTCAATTCCTGTATAGTACATTTGTTTTAAAAATAAAAAATACATTTTTATTGATATCGAACCTTTAAATATTTTTCAGTAAAACTAAAATGCGTAGGTATGCATCCAACCAAATGCATTGTAAAATATTTGTTTATGTAATAATAATATATTATAATGATGTTCTTTGTTATATTACATATGACAATAAGTGCATTTATCAAACAGATATAAACAAAAAATATAATTTCACAGGACTAGTCGATGTATTGTATATTATTTATATATGAGTGCCACAAGTTAAAATTTCTCTTCCGTAATATCCGATAAAAACCAAACATTATCTAATTACCGTCTATATTGAACTTCACGTCTTCATGAACCTACTCTAATGTCATAATCTACCACTGAAAATTACAATTTATATGGATATACATATATGAATAAAGAAGAACAATATTATCATTGTTTTGGATCAGTTTACAATTTCTCAACTCTCCGAAAAAAAAACCCGATTATTATCGTTTGCATATACATACAATGAAAAGTGTTTAATAAACAGACATAAAACATGTACATTGTACCTATTTATGTAATAGAATACTTCAATATTGTTCATATTATGAATTCACTCGTCTAAATAATTAGTTAGAAGTCTTAAAAATACATAGGACAGAAACAGTTATCGTTTTTACTATTTAGATATATATCAATGGTTAGATTTTTAGAAAATCAGGATATTTAAAACCGCAGACAACATAAAGTTCAACCATTAACAATAGCAACTGAAACTTAAAAGCAAGATTAATCGTGAATAATTAAATGAACAAATTAACGTCGTGATATAATAGTTAATAACAGAGAGGCGTCACGGACGAACCACCGACAAAGAATGTAGGACATAGAATAGAAAAAATAGAACCCGTGGAATTAAAAATAATACTATTTAGGCTGTTCAATAATGTTTTTCACTTTTGGAAACACTATAACTTATATTGTTCAACATTTTACAAGATTTAAATCAATCGACTTTATCGTAGGTACCTATCTATACTTTTTCCACCAGTTGAGCACTTTTCATTGATATTAGTTTTTTGTTCATCCTGGGAAATGTAAAAATAGAATTATGTACCTACCAACCATTCCAAATTTCAAAGCTGTGCATATTATTCTGCGTTATACTCTAATACTCTATATTATTCTTTAACATTAATATTTGGATTTCAATACAATAATATTAAAGTATCGGGTTTCTCCAAAGATCAATGAAGAATATATACAGGACACGCTGAAGGCGTCCATGCTGATAAGTGCTAGATTTAGGTGTCACGGTCCAAAAGAGCAGAATCATCTGCCTTACAAAGATCATCTCTCTATTCATTTTATCACTTATTTAAATTCAAATTTATTGTGCTCCAAACGTCATTCAACCAATGAGATATCATTATTACAGTCCAATATTACTTTATTACATAATAATATACCAGCGATTCGATTATAATACCTAAATAGAGTATAGTAACCTAACCTAACCTATAGAGTATAGGTATTGTATTTTAGTATAGGCATATTTACTTGGTCCATCAATGTGTGGTTTGCCGAGTTAAACACAAAGACGACTCAACATAGCCGTTTAATAAATGAGTATTTTTCAAAGATATGATTTTAAAAGTTTGTATAGAAATTAGGCAAATTCATGCCAACGAGTACAAAAATGTATAACAGATATTTATTTATATTATTATCTATTTAAAAAAGTGACATAATGTTAGGAAAAATTCTCATGGAATAATAAAAAAGCACATTGCTTTTTCCGCGATAACAATATAAGCGTGGCTTATTCGTAATTTATTATTTATGGGCCTCTCCAGATTCGCCGCACTAGCGGTGCATACCGTGTCGCACGCGCGTGCGGAACGAAAACGATAGCGTGTCCGCGTCGGTTGTTTGCATAGAGTTGGACGGTTACCTACGCCAAAGTCGCACAGTGGTTCAAAAATGATTGACCAAAAATCGTTTTTGTGATTTCTTTGAAAATAAAATCTACTTTTTATCTTTAACAAAAAAATTGTTATTTGGAATTGGTGAATTACACGTAGTGCGCAGGCGTAGGTGCAGTATCATCATTGTACGATTTATGCATAATACGTAAACATATTATTATTGATGCAGAAATATTTTTTTTAGCGTCGTCTGATCGAAAAGAAAAACCGTTGACAATCGGTTTAGCGCCGGAGTTGAGAAACGAGTGGGCACCGATGTACAAGGGTCCGATACTGGCGGGTATCGCTAGGTGTGGTCGGCCTCGAAAACCGCCGACGCACGCCGTCTGTGAGAATTTGAACGTCCGGTCGTCAGCTGCAGAAGCCCGGAGTAGTATCATGCATAATATTGTGTGCAACGCGGCACGTCTCCAATGGTTTCTCGGCGTGATATTTTTAATTGGATACTGTACCTCAGCTCACCCCTTACCCTCTTTCCCAACACATTCCCAAAAACACACGATAGAACAAAACGGAAAATTTGTATGTAGGATACCATAATATAGTACACACTATTAAATAATAATAATATATTCAAGAATCTAAAGTAATCCAAAAACCTTTGTTGTTGAAACCTTTTGCCAAACATAAAAATATAATATTATATATGTGATAACTACAACTAACCGTCAGGGTGGGGAGTTACCGTTGTTGTGAGAGCGATGTCTCTCATATCGTAATAGTTAGTTGGTTTTGGTGAGGGGATGCTATAGAGGCCTGTGGAGAGTGCAAGGGTCCGAGCTCCCTTATATGTAAAGTTACTAATAATTAAGTAAAAATGATTAGTGAACGGCTCGCCTTGCGTTGTATTATTGTTAGTCCTGAGTTTGATGTATGACTAATTTGTGAATTATATTGAAGATAATACCGATAAGGGGTTCAGCCGGAAGCGTGAAGTGTAGAGCGGTATAGCGCCGTCTGATGGGTGTTGTGCGGCAGTTTGTATGCGCGGAGCATCTCTTTCCGACAATTCGGTTTTAATTTGAACGGTATACACACGCTCTACACTCCTCACGCCGTCTAATCGACTTAAAAGATAAGCGTGTGCTAAAGCCATTTATTGATTTATAAATAAAGAATACCTATACATCAGCAAAATGTCAGGAAAACTTAAAGAGGTTGAAGTTTAATAATAATAATTTGTGTAACGTTAATTACCGAGTAAATTTAATTATTTAAAACCGTTATTTTACGATCAATATAATATAACATCACTACATCAGACGATCAGCGTTCTTTCAGTATACTCACACTGATTAAAGCACAAAGTAAAACACGTGCGTCTTTGCATGAAATTATAAACATGAATTATAGATAGACTTTTTCTAAATTAAAAAAGAATATTATCTTACTATTAATTACAATGTTTCAAATGTTATACAGTCGTAAAATGTATTTTTAAAATCTATTGATCGGTGTGTTCAAACTTCAAACTTCAAATATTACGATAGTAGCACGTTTTGTTGAATTGTATAGGTACGCCATTTGTTATTGTCGGTCGTAAACTATACAATGCATGGCAAATAGACAATAATAAAAACATCCTCAAATATTTAGTTTATTTCCCATATCATGTGGGTAGAACTTGAAACGATAAATAATCAAACATTTTAAAATAACAATTAGGTTTGATAACATTTTATTTAAAATTATACAAACTATATTTGAGTATAGGTACTTTAAACAAAATGGTGTATTATTTTATTCATTTTTAATACCAAACATTTAATATAGTTATCACTTAAAATGTATTCTTTATTATTAATATTTCATACGCGATAGCTGATTCACTAAAAATAAAGATACATATTTCTGTAAAGATACATATTACTATTTTAATAAATCAAAAATTATTCCATTCTAGATTAATATAGCTAATGTGTGAAAATAAGTGTATTTAGTGACATTTATGAGTAATGGGTTTTGTTTCTCATACAGTATTTTTACCGATCTAAACGATTTTTATACTGTTTAGATATTATATTGTTCCTAGCGTTTTATTAAAATTGAAAGAGAGATGTTATTGACATAACGTTATGGATAGCATGTAGGTAATCCGTAAAAAATCAAATTTATCGAACTACTTTCTAAATAGAGATTTCAAACACACTAAACGATTTTCTAAAAATATTTAGATATCATATTATATCAAATAACATATTATTAAAGTTATACTTTAAAATCTAAAGTATTATCATAAAGAATATTTTTTTAATAATGTACTTAATATTTTTCTTTATTCTAACAAGGAATAGTCATTAGTTCAATTGGATAATTAAATAAATAAGGTTGGCATATAAATATGTCAACTTCATAAATATAAGGCGATTCTTAAAAAAGTGCTGTAGACACTTATTTTCTTGAAAAGTATATACCTTTCCCTAAATTCTTAGAACTTATTAGTCATAATATTAATTATCATTATCATAATATAATAGATATATATATATATATTTATATATATAATAAATCCTTCATACAATATAAAGAAGTATTTGTAAAATTCAATAAACATATTTTAGATTCTGAGTGGAACGATGAATGTATTGATTTTACAATGATGGGTGTTTTTTTTTTATTTTTTATTTTTTATTTATTTTTGTGCCTGTCATCACGGTTTGGGGCAGTAAAACTGCTTCGATTTTCTTCAACAGTATCTTGTTCGATGGGAAAGTGAATCTAGTTGGTGCTTTCGGGAGGTCAAATTTTAAAATTCCCAATAGTTATCACTTATCACGAGCGCCGGGAAAAACGACATAAAAATTAAGGAAAAACGGGAATTTTTACGCAAAATCCGTTTTCAAAAAAATCGATTTTGGTTTTTGGTGTATCTCTAAAACAAATGAATGGTATATACATGACATTTTCACTGGTTGTTTATATTTTATATTTTTTCTATACACGATAAAATTTTCGAAATATTATGATTTGTTTTGAACTGTTTAGGAAAATTTTTTTTCTAAAAATATCAATAAAATTTTATTTGTTGGTTATAAAAGCCCCCTAGTACATTGTTTCAAAGGCAGATGAAAAATATTAAAAATCCTTATTCACAGTTTTGTTTTATAAGCATTTAAAATTCAAAAATTGACAAAATATGGAAAAATCCTGATTCCATGTAAGTAGTAAATTCTGTTACTAAAAAATCTAAAAATTACACAAGCACAGTTTATTATTATAGACATTTTAAGTTCAAATTTGGACGAAATTATATATTAAAAAACCTACTTATTTTGTTGTGATTGTATAATATTATTCGTGGGTGATTGAAACTTCTAAAGTGTACTATTATATATCTATGATAGTATCAGGGTTTGTTATTGATGTTGATGTATAACATGTTATAAGTACCTAATGGATATTGTGATAATGTGATATGATTAATTTGGAATTTATTATAAGTCAATTTTTTTTTTAATACCATAGATATGTATATAATTTGTCTTAAACCTAGACTGACATACCGTCTCCGCTCAGAATCATTTTTCTTATACAATGATATTATATCATTGAATTCAAATTTAATACCATCCATTATACAGTGATCCAATTGTAACCTACTGTACAGCAGAGCACCTTTTTTATTATTAATTCCATGAATAATATTGCAATATTACAATTTTTGTCTTATTTCGTAAACAAAGAAATTATAATACATAACTAAAAAGCGGGTAAGTGAATGTCGTTCTGCTGTGCAGTAAGTTACAAGTGGGTCATTGTATAATGGATTGTATTAAACTTGAATTCAATTATATAGTACCTATCATTGTATAAGAAAAACAATTTTGAGCGGAGACGCTTTGTCAGTCTGTATATTTTATATTGTTATTATTTATTATTTTATTTTATCATGTAAGTCAAATTAATATTATAATACTATTATTTTTTATTCGTTTCTATGGAGATAAACAAAGCGTTAGAAATTAAAATCCCATTATTAGCGGTTTTTCGTCATTTTTCGGTGGTTTTTCCATGGCATTAAATAACTATTGATAAAATCGAAAAATTACCTCTCTAAAGTACATAAGTAACATCTTGATCCAATTTGATAAAAGATAAGGTACTATATGTAGAAATCAAAGCACTCCTTCTGGTAGAAATTTTGTATACAGGATATAAAAAAAAAAAATAAATAAAAGAAAATAAACACCATTGAAAACCAATAGCTTCCTCGCTCAACTCAGAATCTAAAATAGTGACCACGTATTCTTATAACTACATTATGTAAAATTCAATTAACCCTAATTATTTTTTAAATAATTTTGTTACTAGGTTACTCAAAAAATAAATAATGCCTTCATAAAAAGCTATTTACGAAATATATTATTTAACAAATACTTTCGCTTAAAATGCGTTTCAATCTTTGAGTAGGCATTTGTAATTGTTTATAACATTAAATTATTATTTATTTATGTGATGGGCATCAATATATATAAACAAACATAAGTTCGTCCAACAAAAATGCATAACAATAATTCTTAAATATTTACAAAATGAAAATACAAATACCTAAACATAAAATACATTTGCAAATCAAAAATAACCACATCTTTAAGTTAAGTTGATTATTCCCAGTATTGAGGCAATTTAGTTCAAACAAGTTTCTTCACATATTATTAATTCTACAATAGTTTGTATAATTTGTTTCTAAATAATAAATTAAACAATTAATTCAATTTAAGAATGGATATGGACATCAATAAATATTGTAATAGTAAAAAATATTAACATAGAACTAGTGAAGGACAAGTAAATATATAAGTAAAAACACATTTTTTTTATTATATTATACATCAATACTTAATATAATCTAATACGTGCCCAAAACACTACTTCGACGTACTATAATGAATGTTCCAATGTACAATGTACCAAAATAACAAATGATATTAGAATTAGTTGGTTGAGTAGACAATAGGGACATTATAATATTATCATCCATCATGAACTTAAAACATTAGTATACCTACCTTTTAAAATGCAATGTATATGTTTATTGTATCTAAATATTCTAATACTGATAAACACGCATTATAACAAAAAAACATATGTGCTATTATTTGTATAATTCAATTTAATAAGCAATTTAGAAATTCAATATAAATAAATGTATTATTGTATTAGACATTAGTATAGCATGTGTATTTAAAATGTCTTATTGATTTAAATGTTAAATCACGTATTGATGTTCGCATAAAACTAAAACTATTGTAAGTAACATACTAACATATTAACAAAAAAATTAAAAAAGCTGCTATATGGATATCACTTTGCTGTACAGTAGGCTACAAGTGGGTAAATGTATAATGGACTGTATGAAACTTGAATTCAATGATATAAT